AGGCAGGGTCAACCTGGACAGGGTAAACGGGCGAGACGAGCGACACGTGGAGGGAAACCTTCAAGTGATACAAAGCCCGTCAAAAGAACTCGCCCGGACGAGTCTCGCACTCCCCAGCGCAGTGGCAAGCGATTCAAACCGCTGCCAAAGACCGGCTCCACGAGTTACTCCGACGCACTAAAGGCGAATGACCTTTGCGTCGCGGTCATGCTGGAGCCTTACCACGACCTCACCAAGGCACAGGCAGAGGACATCGAGGGCCAGCTGCAGGGCGTGCTAGATGAGGAGATCTTCTCGCCCGGCACGTCAAGCGCACCCGTCGCTGCGCCACAGTTTAGGGGCAAGGCCTTCTACAGTGAGGGCGCCCTTAAGATGTGGTGCAACGACGAATATGCCCTACAGTGGCTTCGCCGATCCCTGGTAAGGATCCCATCACCACGTGAAGGCACCAAACTGGTCGTCAGGAGGCAGTCTGAGATCCCGAAAAGGATCAAGGCTGGACTCCTGGTACCACAAATCGGACCAGATGATACACTGGTCCGAATTCAAACGAGGCTAAAGTACCAGAATAGCCAGTACAATGTGGCCAACTGGGCCCTCTACCATGCCGAGGCGCAGGAGGAAAAGAAATGTCTCTTCCTAGTGCTCGGTATCCCAGAAGAGGACGTCGTGAAGCTCAAGGCTAGCGAGCGTAGAGTATACTACAAACTGGGTAACCTCTACGTTCGCTTCCTTGATGAACGTCCCGCCCCACCAACTAACCCAAACGAGGAGCCATTCGAGGGAGGAGGAGAATCGGCCCTACAACACCCTAAGGACGGCAATGGAGGGGATCCTCTGAGACCCGTTGAGGAAACAGCCTGCCGGGGTCCACCTCCTGAGGAGTTGGAGGACCTACCGGTGGGCGAGAGTGACCTCGACGACATAGAGGATATGCTGAACAGCGATGATGGCGCTGTCTGCACCCCCCCATAACACCCTTATAGCCATCCAAATCAACCTCCAGCACAGCCATACAGCAACGGCTACCCTACGCAGAGAGCTGGAGGTAAAAACCAACACCGTAGCCCTAATCCAGGAGCCGTGGATTAGGAAGGGCAGGATCTGCGGTCTAAATAATATTGGAGGTAAGATACTTCTCAACACTACCATTGATAACCCGCGCACTTGTATTTATACACCAAAACATGCGTGTACTACCTTAATGACCGAGTTCTGTTCCAGAGACCTTACCTCTGTTAGGTTAAAGGAACCCTCATCAAACCTGCCTGACGTGGTGATAGCATCAGCCTACTTGCCGGGCGATGCTGACATCCCCACTCCGGAGCTGGCTGCGCTGGCACACCACTGCGAGCGCGAGGGTCTGGAGCTGATCATCTCTGCCGACACCAACGCGCACCATGCGCTGTGGGGCAGCAGGAGCAACAACCGGAGAGGTGAGGAATTTGTATCGTTCCTATTATCAACCAACCTTAACATTATCAACGTGGGCTCGGAGCCGACATTTGTCACGTCCAGGGCCCAAACTATAATTGATCTTACATTAGCAAGTGAGCACGCATCGCAACACATATCGAACTGGCATGTTTCGAACGAAGCATCGTGCTCAGACCATCGCTGGATCAAATTTAACTTTGAAATGAAACTTAAACTACCCGATCCCCGACGGAATCCCCGCACGATGGACCGGAAACGGTATGAACATCTTACTGCGGAGAATCTGCGAAGCATCAACCCAACATACGCTACGGGGACTGTTAAGGACATTGACAGTCATGTTGTCAACCTTACACAGACACTGATCGATTGCTTTGAACAAACATGCCCACTTTCCACACCCAGAACTGGACCACAGAACAAACACCAATGGTGGGGTCCGGAACTGGAAAGACTACGTCGTAAAGTGAGAAAGTTGTTTAATAAAGCAAAAAACTCGCGATTAGACCAACATTGGGATGCCTACACGCAGGCCCGACAACAATATAAGAAGAGAATCAGAACCAGGAAAACTGAGTGCTGGAGAAACTTCTGTACTAACATAGAGAACAACAACCAGGCCAATAGAGTCAAAAGCATACTGTGTAGTAGAGGCGAACACAATCTTGGCTCACTGAAGAAGCCTGATGGTGAGTATACCAAAACAGACTCGGAAGCCTCAGAGCTGTTATTAAAAACACACTTCCCTGGATGTCGCATATCAGATGTGATGGAAAAATGGGAAGACAGATGGGAAAAACCACCAGATGATACAGACTGGGATACGGCCCGCAAAGTTGTCACCCATGACAAACTAAGATGGGCAATTAACAGCTTCCTACCATTCAAGGCGCCAGGACTAGATGGTGTCTTCCCAGGCCTACTGAGATGGTCTGATACGACATTACTGGACCATCTTATAAAAATCTATAGGGGCTGCCTGGCGCATCAGTACATCCCCTTGAAATGGAGAGAAGTTAAAGTAGTCTTCATCCCCAAACCTGGTAAAGGTGACTACACACAACCCAAATCACACCGACCTATTAGTCTCACATCTTTCCTACTAAAGGTTCTTGAGAGGCTAATAGATAGGGAAATCAGGGAAACTGCATTAGTCAGTCACCCTCTACACCTCAATCAACACGCATACTCGATGGGTAAATCAACAGAATCTGCCCTACATCGAGTTGTTTCATATATAGAAGACAATCTAAATCACAAAAGGTCAACACTGGCCACCTTTATCGATATCGAGGGAGCCTTTGACAAGACCAACTTCACCAGCATTAGCCAAGCTCTTTCTAGGCATGGTGTTGATTCCACAATCTCAGGGTGGATCGACAGCATGCTAAGATATAGAGCTATACAATTCACTGTGAGCGAAGTGACTAGAGGAGTGGTGGCTAGAGGTTGCCCCCAGGGCGGTGTACTCTCCCCCCTTCTATGGAACATTGTTGTGGATGAGCTCATCGCACAACTCAATGACCAAAGATTCCTCACAATAGGCTATGCAGACGATCTTACCATTCTCATCAGCGGTCCTTTTGAGAGCATTACATGCGATCAAATGAGACTTGCACTGAAGATCGTGGAACAATGGTGCGCAGCACACAACCTGACAGTGAACCCATCCAAAACAGAGATGATCATGTTCACAAACAAACGCAGCCTAGGAAATCTCAGACTTCCCAAGCTATTTGGAACACAACTTACTCTTACCAAAGAGGTCAAATACCTAGGAGTAATACTGGACAGTAAACTCCTGTGGAATAAGCACCTCGATGAAAAACTGAATAAAGCCTGCATTATTTTCTGCCAATGCAAGCGGCTACTCGGCAAAAGCTGGGGACTATCACCCAAAATTACTTTATGGCTATACAGGACAGTCATAAGACCAATAATCACTTACGGTGCTGTTGTCTGGTGGCAGAGAACAGAGCTAAGCACCGTCATAAACAAACTGCAGCAATTCCAGCGACTCCCATGCTCCGCGGTCACTGGCTGTATGCGCACAACGCCTACTGCCGCACTGGAGGTGGCTCTTGGTCTGCCACCCCTGGATCTATTCATACAGCAGGAGGCCGCCATGGCGATCATTAGACTCAAACACCTGGGTCTATGGCACAAAAGGGAGGGATCGCACTCTAAATTATGGGATCAATTGGTGGAATACGAACCACTGATAGCAGCTCCATGCGATAGAATCCCAAAACACCATATCTTCACAAGAAGATACTACATCCAGATACATGGAAATGACCGTGATCAATCCGGCATTAACGAAGTCCGAATTTACACGGACGGTTCCAAGACTAGGTCAGGAACTGGAGCCGGAGTTTTCTCGCAAGACCTAAATATAAACATATCACTAGCGTTAGGCCAACACAGCTCCATATTTCAATGTGAATGTGTGGCAATAACTTACGCCGCCACAACGGCCATGTCAAGGGGTATCAAGGACTACAACATCCGAATAATATCCGACAGCATGGCCGTCTTAAAGGCATTGGAGGGCAACACAATGACCTCTGGTGTTGTCCTCGAATGCCACCAAGCACTGGAACAGCTCGCTATATTCAATGGGGTACTCCTCCAATGGATTAAAGGGCACAGTAACTCACACGGGAACGATGCCGCAGATGAGTTGGCAAGGAGGGGATCGGCAACCCCAACCTCTGGCCCAACCCCACTTCTGCCCATATCGTTTAACCAAATACGATGCTGGGTCAGGCAACGGACCTGTGAAGCACACAACCGGAGGTGGAAAAACTCACCCGGCTGCAGACAGTCCAAACTGGTGCTGAATCAAGTCACGCCACGACTCACCTGCAGACTGATCAGTCTTAGCAGACCGGACATCAGAATGGTTGTCGGAACTATTACAGGACATCTAGCCCTGAACCGACAACTATTCATAGTCAATGCGACGGACAGCCCCCTGTGCAGGGGGTGTCTGGAAGCTGAAGAAACGGCCGCCCACGTAGTCCTGGAATGCGAGGGAGTGGCCACACAACGGGCAAATATCATTCCTGATATAAAGTCGCTCCTAGAAGCCTGTGAACGCCCCAGGAGGCTTCTGCGCTTCTGGAAGGAGCTTGGCTGGCTCACCTAGTCAGCCAATCCCCGACGCATAAAGGACCATTCTGAGTCTAAATGCGGAAACCGAGGCTCACAACCAATACCAATACCAATACAATCACTGTACGACAACAACACATTAGTACACCATTTAGCATTTCAGACGGTCCTCCAGAGAATTCAGTTATACAAAGTTCAGTTACCTACATACTACAGATTACTAGCAGACGTTGAATGTTAATTTAAACTTGTTACCAGAAATAAAAAAACTTCAAGTTATTTGTACAATTTCAACTTTAATTATTAGCATATAAAAATAATGAATCGAGTAACATACTCGTACATGGTACAATTTATAGCAACATAGAACTTTTTTATTTTGTTATAACTTGTACTCGTACGTAATATGTCCTAATATATCAACATAATAACACAGTACACAATGATCACAGGTATGGTTGCCAGCCATGGAACAGGCGGCAGAGGTTAAAGGGATCAGTGGCGGCGCGCAAGAGGCGAGCGACTTGGCCGGCCACCGCCACTCCGCCCGCCACACCGTCCTCCGTACCACTCAACTTGCTTGTCACTACAAGCAATGCGCGTTTTGCAAGCCCACTCGGAGGACCCGTCGTGCCTAAATAAAAATATAAAGCCTGGATTAAAATGGCCGGACAATTATTATTTAAACATAATTACTATAGGAAAGCTTACAGAGATCCTTATTATGCATGCTTGTTGCGGGAGCATTTTGTTGTGCGGTTTTTACAGACCAAGAATACAGCGGATCACACAACAACACTTCTAATATTGTTAGGAGTGTCTCTTGGTTATCGCGAAGCAGTTGCATTGTTTTTTCACAGCATCTGTTATAAATATTTTTTTGTATATTAATGGATACGTATTATCTGTGTGGTGACGGATTAAGAACATGGAATGTCACCATCCCTATTCATCCCGTGGGTGTCGTAAGAGCCGACTAAGGGAGCAAACTACGCAGAAGAGTTTTTCCTTCCCTTTGCAGTGCTCAACAGCACTGCAAAGGGAAGGAAAAACTTGAAACAAACCCTATACCAACCCTTCTGACCAGTGTGGTGTAGTAGGCCAAATCCCTCTTTCTAAGGAGAGGCCTATGTCCAGCAGTGGACTATTATAAGCTGTTGATGTGACGTATAAGAGGTTAAACAATGCATTTGAAATAAAAAGATAAACCTGACCGCGCAATCTTCACTTACGACTTGTTAAAAAATACCATCCCAAAAAAAAATTAATGAAAAAAACAGTTGTTTCCTTCTCTTTGCCGTGCTGTTTAGCACTGCAAAGGGAAGGAAAAACTTGAAACAAACCCTATACCAACCCTTCTGACCAGCGTGGTGTAGTAGGCCAAATCCTTCTTTCTAAGGAGAGGCCTATGTCCAGCAGTGGACTATTATAAGCTGTTATGTGTGATGTGACGTGTTAGAGGTTAAACAATGCATTTGAAATAAAAAGATTAACCTGACCGCGCAATCTTTACTTACGACTTGTTAAAAAAGACTATCCCAAAAAAATAATTAATGAAAAAACAGTTGTTTCAAGATCTTACTGATATTATAAAGACGAAAGTTTGTATGGATGTTTATTACTCTTTCACCCAAAATGGATGGATCTGGCTGAAATTACGCAAAGAGATAGATTATAGTCTGGAATAGCACAAAGGCTTTTTATCCAGAAAAAAATGTAGTTGTTCCCGAAGGATGAGCAAGGTACGACAACAACCGCGGGGCGCAGCTAGTATATTATAATTACTACATAGGGGTTATACTGTGACAAGTTAAGTATGACAGATTTAATTTGTATGTCTTAAGTATTTACGGTAATTGATTTTCTTTAAAAAATATTAAATTTGCAAACGAAATTCCCGTTTATGATTCTGCATTTTGTTGGTACAGAAAATAGTGTAAGGGACCAATTTCATTACCGTCTAAATATTCCTTCAATACCGCTACAGCCGAAGCCAGCAATGATGTCCCGAGTTAAACGGAACGGCACAGTTTCTGGAGTACGCAATGTTTTCCCTTGATCAAATGCAATACCTGTTGAATACAATGTAGTTGTTGAATATTAAGTATGCTGCATATTTGAAAAAAAAAATGTTTTTATATCATGATTTGTTTGGATATGCCATGCACTCACAAATGCAGAAGTGATATATGTGGGATTTGTTTATTTTGAACCCCTACAACATTGTTGTGATTTTTTTCTCAAAAGTTTTATTCTAAGGGTTTGTTTCGCATTGTCTTCCACATTACTTTTATCACTAAGCAATGGCGTCTAAGTAAAATTTGAAGTCTCAGTATTGCCAACTTCATGAAAAAATATATTTGCAAATAGTGATATATTAGAAAAAGTGTTTACTTTCCATTTACTTAGAAATTCAGGTCATATATTACAATTACCTAAATCTATATGAATTACTTCAGCAGTCCTTTGATCAATTAAAATGTTGTACACATGTCTGTCACCAAGGCCTAGGATATAACCCACCATCGACGATGTTGCAACACTAGAAAAAAAAAAAGAATTACCAACAAATCACATGGAACCTTATTGGAGGCAAGTAACAGAATAAATAAAAAATAAAAAAACAAATTTATATAAGCACCTTTTGGTATAGGCCAATCTTCTCTCGTACCACGTGACAGGATCTAGATAATGTTCAGTGAAGTAGTAATGAAACACTGGTTTAAATTCTTTCATTATTCTTTTGAAAATTGCCAACTTTTGAGAAGTATTTTCATTACAACTTTCAATCATCTTCTTGCGAGCGGCCTCACAAGACATATCCTATAAAAAACAATGTTAATGATACACTAGTATAATGAAACTGTTATTTGCAGCTTGTATTGAAACCGCATAGCGATAATATTTATAAAGCATACTTAATTATGTACATACACCAGAATAACGTACGTTTCGAGTGAGTCAGTATGTGACCATGGCCAGTGCAACTGGGTCGAAGCTTATGTTATACCTGTTGCATCAATGCCCGTGTATGTACCTAATATTGTCTCCTCTTCAAAGTTGGGATTAAGAATACTGTCATAAGCATATGCCCAACACTCAACGGACGTCATTAAGCGTTGTGTTTTGACCAAACTACCGCAAATTCAAATAATCAAGAGGGTAGTTGACGGAATCAACACCTCACGGCGTTGCAGTTAAGCTGATCCCCCGGTGATCACGATCGGTGAGATTCGATTGAAACGTCGGGTAACCAAGTTTTATATAAACGTTATTAACAGCCGATTTACACATGCCTACATAGGCTTTTCTACTCGTGGCTTCTATTTCCTTCAAATTATGTCATTCTTAATAAAATGCCACACAGGCCTCATGCCTTACCTGGGGACGATACCGGGCGTGAGCACCTCTATTTTCAGTCCCCGCTAGGTACATTCCAATTGGTTCGGTACCTTCGCACCACTCCAACACGCCTGACAAACGCGACAATGGCACTACCTGTAAGGCAAAATACAAAGAATCAAGTTTACCATATATCCTGACCAGACTTAAAACAGAAAATTACATTGACGTATTAGCTAACCGGCCCAAGAATTGCCTAAAAAATAGTATTAGTAGTATTATTTATACTAATATATTATGTGTATTACTAATTTAATTTAATGAATTAATGGTGTGTTCATGTTAAAGTAAGCGACTACTATTTAACATTTTGTCAAATAATATTTTAGGCTCTAACTGCAATAATTTAATGATGAGATTGAATGATTAGCTATAATTACTTGTTCACCACCTTGAGATCACTTCATCACCTTGAGATAAACTTACATAAGGCCGTCTGATAAGAAAGCTCAAGGAAGTGCCTTTGTCCGTCATATGTAAGTAGACTGCTCATAAACTTACATGATTTCCGTATTATTTTTGATTTACATTATATGTACGAATTTCGTAAATGTACATCGGACAATTATTTGCCCCGAGTGATGGTGGAACTACATTAGGCTGAGCATTGCATACCACGAAATCTATATACTTTTCAACTGTCAACATTAAACTTAACACAGCATACTTTACCTTATAAGTTCTAATCAAAAGTTTATTTCTATTTGTTACAGGATCTTTTTCCAAAAGTGTATTAACAATGTTAAAAACCTGTTGCATAACTGCGTCTTGTTTCATATCATCCCCACCCTAAAAGTAACGATTTAGGTCAAAAGTGAAATAATTATAATATTAATAAAGTTATTACATTATTAGACCAAAAAATGAAAAATATAACCTTTATCAACAAAATATGTTTCTTCCCTGAAGATTCCAAGCAATTGATTTTCTTTGGGCAGTTCATACCGCCTACTAATTCGTAGTACGTCTCAAACGAGTGTAACGCTAAAAAACAAAATATTTATTTTTTATTAAACTTTTACCAATGCCTATAGTCGTAAATGACTATACTTCAACACTTTACAAGAAGTGATATTCGCGTTTAATAACACTTCTTGTGAAGTGTTATATTAAAGTAGTATTCATAAAATAGATGTTGCAAAATAATAGGTATGTAATTGTACGAAAAAATGCCAGTGTGTTACTATATTTTTATCAACCTTGTAAACATCTAGTTAGAACTTAAATAACACTTTTCTAAATATTGATAATGTTTACTCTATTTGTATATATTATAATAACCCTTTTTTTACGTATGGAAACCCCCTCGGGCAGTCACTTTACAGTAGATTTGCGGCGGGGCGGTGTGTGGAAATCAAACCGACTAAAAATACACGGTGCGCCACTCCGCGACTGAAATAAGATAGGTCTGGGAACAGATTTTATTAGGACATTCGGACCCCTATATTGTAATAACCCTTTTTTTACGTGTCCCACACGTCGTTTCCTCGCGGCTGGCCGTTATGGCGGGTGGAGAGAAAAACCCGCCCCGTCCACCCTCGGACACACTCAGGGCGGCATGAGGCGGTGATAAGCGCGCCTCCACCGCCCGGTTCGCCGGCGACGAATTGGGTACGAGTGAAGGTTTTCCTCTCGGGCACTCTCCGCCACCTCCTTCTGCAAGATGACGTCTTCGCAAAAGGATGCGACCGCGGTAAATCATCTGTCACTACCGGCCATGGAGCGTATGACGGCCGGTAGCGAGAGGTCCCCTCCGATGACTGCAATAAGGACCCGGCGCTACGACGCCCAAGCCGGGCAAAATGAAAGCGTGTGCTGAGCCGAGTCCTCACTGCAATCGCAGTGGTGACAGACGGGACTCAATTCCCTCCTAGCGACCGAGTGCAGGTCTTTCCCGAAGCAGCCGTGCCCGGAAAGGACCTGCGTCAGCCGGAAGGAAAGGGTCTCGGGCTGCCGCCCTGCCCACTCGACGATGACCGGCTGGAGCGCCTCTACGGCGGGAAAGCCAGCACGTGGCGCCTCCAGCCGGGACGACCAACGAGCCATCGTGGCTCGGCAAACGGCCTCACGGAATCTCGGATCCGCCCGGAACTCAGCCGTCCGCCGATATACTTAGGCTTCCAAATCAACGGGGGTGTTCGAGCCAATGCACACGTCGCCTCCGTCGAAACGGTGCGGTAACCGCGTATGGCTCTAACCGCCAATATCCTCTGAGGGCGCCAAGGCGTGCCCTATTCTGAGCGGTCAGAGTCACCGCCCACACTGGTTCACCGTACAGTGCTATTGACCGCACAACCCCTGTGTACAGCCGTCGCGTTGCGACGCTGGGTCCACCCAGATTAGGCAAAAGTCACCCAAGGGCAGTCGCAGCGCCGACCTGTTTTGGAGCAAGCTGTCGGAAGATATTTCATCTGGGCCTGAACCGGTACGAGGACCGGGTTGACCACGATTGAGGCACCGGGGGGGTGGACCACGACGGGGCCCATGGCATAAGAGGGCTTCCGTCTTATCCAGGGCCACCCGTAAGCCCAGCGCCTTAATGCACCCGACCACCAGGGAGACTCCCCTGGTGGCCCGGCGCGCCGCCTATTGAAAGTTCGCCCCCGGCTGTGACCAAAGTATCATCGGCGTAACAATCATATTCGACGTTTACGGGCGGCAATGGTCACTTTCCATCAGGTGACCCGTCCGCTCGTTTTCCTCCTCTAACATAAAAAAAGAAACCAATTACACCCAGCCCAGGGGGAAAATCAACTCGAGGGCCCAATCGTACCCTATGTTCCACAGGAGCGGTCTAAGAACAGACCCCTGTGGAACACTGCACGAAATGGGCCGACACCTCAGATTACCATCTCGGTCCTCGTATACGACGGTACGCTCCTCTAAATAGTCTGCCACTACCTGCCTCAGGTACTTTGGCACCCCATGATAGTGGAGTGCTTCCCTGATGCAGCAGAATGGCAGACTAGAATGCGTTGGCGATGTCCAATGACACCGCCAACAGCACGCCGCCACAGCTCACCTCACGTCACGGCCCTCAGGCGCAGCACAGCGCCGACCGTCGAACGCCCCGCTCGAAAGTCGAATATGGCTTCGACAGATCGGGGCGCACCTCGTAGAAGTGGCGGACGATGCGGGCAGAGAGTACCCTCTCAAACAATTAACCCGCCTTGTCCAGAAACACGATAGGCTTCTTTAATAGGACCAGCTTACCGCTCTTCCAGCGCTCAGGGATACGCTCGGTCGCCAAGCTAGCGTCAAACACCTCCCTGAGGCGGTCTGACACGTGTTCGAGAGCTTGGGCCAGCACACGGGCAGGTATCCCGTCTGGCCCGGGAGCGGTGTTCTTAGAGCGGATCAGTAGAACAGCCGCCCTTACCTCCGAATCCGCAAGGAAGTTCCGCAGGCGGAACATCATCCTGATTCTCCCCGTCGTCTCCAACCAAGGAGGCTATCGACGGAGGTGTGTGCTCCGCCCGCAAATATTATAATAACCCTAAACCAACCGGTAACTTAACATAGTAGGCCAAAACCTACTGTCTAAGCAGAAGCCTACGTCCAGCCATTGGACTACTAAGGGATATTGATGATGATGAAATATTTTATATTTAATAATAATATAATTACTTAAAATGGCATTCTGTAAACAAACTTAATACAATACTTTGTTTTAAAGTTTTATTTAATAAGTTAAAAAAGTTAAAAATAAGTTTTATTTGCTTTAGGAAGTCTTTTAAGTACAAGAGTCTTACTTTGTATGTGTGAGTATGTGCAGTCGTGTTTGACAGGCAACGTGACAGTGGGGACGGGGATAGCACTCAAGTTTCGCAGCTTGTGTATGTTTTCCGCGTCTGGTATCTTTTGTTTCTTTGAACGCGACGTAGGCACGTGGTTAGCGAAACTTATCATTGCTGAAAAACAAAACAATTTAATAATTTTGACAATCTTGTATTTTATGCCCTCGCCTAGCCTTCACAACTTCATCGTTGTATCCGTAATCAATAACAAAAGTGATAGAAGTTACAAAAATAAAGCTGATGGTCACTACCGATCTCGATTAATATCGGAAGTCATCCTCAATCAGAACCTAGTATTCCTTGACACTTTTTACTTTGTCTTGGCGATAAAGTAGTAGAAAAAAACCGTTGAGCTTAAAACCCGACTAAGATGCACTTAGAAATAATCAGAAAGTACTAACCGTCACACATTTTTTCCATCTGGTCTATAATAATAGTAAGATCATTATTATGGTGACGAAGTTGAGCAACAAGCGCCTGCGCCGCCAATGTTCGTGTCTCTTGTTCTCGCGCTCGGTTTGCACTACCGATCGAACCACTTGCATTAAGTATTACGCTGTCCTTGTCAGAGTTCTTCAGAAGAAACAGAATAGGCAGCGTGTGGTGGGGATGATCTACGGCACAACGTTCTGGACAGAAATTTATTATACATTACCTATTGTCCTATAACTTACTATCATATTACTTTGTAAGGGATTGCAATTTCAAAAAATCTATGAATCCATTGGTGTGGTACATTTAGTACAATATTTCATTCGTTTTTATGACATTATACAACTAATTCTCGAGTTATCTTTCTTTTACTACAAAAAATGGAGTTAGCTGTATTGCCAACATTATAATTATAATAATGGCAAACAGTGACATCTAAAATTATAGACAAACATTGAAAATTAATTTAAATAGCTATAATAAACAGGATAAATTAGTAGGATATTACTGACATATAATTTAAATTAAAACAACACACCCAATACTACATTTTTACACAGTTCTAAATGTTTGCTAGCAAACTTACTCAGAAGTATTTTCAAATTTCGAATGAACGCTGTATCTTCATTGGTTACGCGAGGGGCCAATTGAGGCAATATAGTAACGAATTTCCACGACGGTATTGCGTGCAATAAATCTTCAAATGTGTCGCTGTCATCTCCTTGAAACTCAAAGTCCCGGTTGGAAAGCCATAATGATATTACTCTAAACACTGACAAATTACTCTCGTTACATTCCTTTAGAGATAATAAGTAATATCTGAAATAAAATAATATTTTAAAACTGTTACTAGTAAGAAAACAAATCATTTATGTATGTAATCAAACATGTATTATACATACATGTTCTAGAAGTTTTCAAAGGGGTGGCGAAGAAATCGCGCTATTTAGAGATTTGATTTTAGAGGAAGATAACAACCTTCTGGAACTTCTATGGTTATGCGAGACAAGTAAACAAGTTAAACAAATAGCGAGCACTAAAATTTAAAAGCAGCGCGATTTTTCATATTCAGTGTATTATTAGTCTGATTCCGAAGCCCGTGAATATAGTGCCACGGACTTGTTCAGTTTTACTTTTGTAGTTTTTACTTTTATAGACTTACCTCATAGCTAATTGTAAAAAGTTTTCTCTTTCAGCTCGTGTGTTGGCAATTTCAGCTTCATCTAATTCTTTGAATCGTCTATTAGTAGATAATGCTCTACCCTCTTCTCTGCAACATTACATTGTAAATATTCAGTACCAGGATTGACAGTAAAACGTTTAAAGCGTCTAGGTATATACATTCAGTCACTGTGTTTCAACATTAAAATAAAATATTATTTTATTTTAAAGTTCTCATTTAGGTCAACGATTTAAAGACGAACTTACTTTGATAACGACTTTGTAATTCTCTTACTGAGAGATGTTTCTGTACCCTTCATATTCTCAACGCATTTAACTCTGTTCTCAAATATTGACGAGTTCATGTAAGACACCACCTGAAATATTTATTTATATTTGTCACTTGGAGGTCATTAGGATATGACGGTTGTAGTTTGAATTCCTAAGCTATAACATAAATTGGTTTCACGTTACGGACATTTTCAACACTACTAGTGTTGAAAGCGTCCATAATATCAAACCAGAACGATAAATAAATGCACATAATAAAATTTCACTTTATAAGTTTTTTCAATTCATTTAAACTTTAAAAATTCTGGTAAAAATAAAGTTTTAATGCTCAACGGTAAATTTTGTGTGTCAAAGAATAACTATGAAAAAGGCTTTGAGCTTATTTTTTTTTGTAATTTTTTTTTTTTTTTATCTTCATAGTTTTCATCGAATGATATACTTTAGACTACATCTAAAATGCTATTTTAAATAATGACTAACTCCTTTGATTTTTTTCTTTTTACATATATTTTACCTGCTTATATTCAGCATCTGCAAATTTCGCTATATCGCGATATACCGACAGCCTTACATCGACGTCCTCTTGCCTTAAAACTTGTAAGCTTTTTTGCAAGTATTTATTTACAATGTCTCTTGGCGTATCGTGCTTTGAATCAGCCATCCACAATGCGTACCGCCTTAAAAATAAACGGTATTTATGTAATTAACAAGAATTAGACTTCGCATCTTGAGCTTATTTAGCGGTTAACGTAGCCTAGACTTTATTCTTTGCGTTCCATGGATTCACCGTGCGGGTGCCGGGTCAATCGCGTAATAGATGGAATTGCGACCTAGGAATAGGTTTAGGGAGTACTCCTTGCGACGCGTCAGCGCTCACCTTCACTGTCTACTGTGTTACCCCCTCAACCTCAAATATTTGATACGAGCCTAGCAATGCCGCTCATATTCGGATATTCGTTCAAGAAAAGAGCTTACTGAAGCTTTTGGCAATCCAAGGTCTTTTAGCAGGTTATAGATGGATTTAGCTGGTATACCCTTTTTTTTCTGTGCGGAACTCCCCTCGGATACTACCCATCACTGGGTGACTATATCGGACTCGAACCGACCAAAAAACGCACGCCATCTCCAAGTACTAGTAGCCGGGGAACCAGGTATACCCTAGAAAGGAAAGCCCTGGTACCCCGTCGTACCTCGGGCCATCTACGGCTTATAGATGACCCCTCCTGTGTGGGAACCCGGATGTTTCCTTCGTGCCCCTGAAGGGCGTGCGCGCTCCGCAGCGTCGCGGAGCGCGCTGAAACCACCCCGGCCTGCTTCAGCTAGAGTGACAGATGGCCTCACTTGTCACCCTCAGGCCTGTGCTTATCAAGGACGGAGGTCGCTCTGCGACCCCGAGCCGTCTGCGGTACCTAGCCCGTTCTCGGGCCTGGCGGGCCGGAAGAGTTCCGAACCTCGTCCGGTACCACTCCGCCATCTTCTTCGCGAGCTCCCAGAAGGAGACGGCGGAGTTCCACGCACTTTCGCTCCGTAACATGGCGGTAATCATGTTACCGAGCGAGGGAATTCCCAATCCGACGGCCGCCACGAGGCTACGCCTTTGCTCCAGCCACGCCGGCGTTGCTCTTGAGGATCAGATACAGGTGAACTCAGAAGCAACCTTTCTCGGTGATCACCTGCGTCAGCCGGAGCTGGTATACCGCTCGCACCCAATTCCACGGCATACAAAGCAACGACCAAACCATTTTTAGTGACTTCGTTGCTTAAGTCAAAGTTTTTTTTTTTAAACGCGAGGTCTTTAGGAATGTTCGTTTCCTACAGTACCGCGAGTTCTACACTAGTATGTAGTATGTTTAATTGAAATTGCATAATGAAATATGTTTGGTCTAGACGCCGAGGCGCAGATATCCTCCAGTATTTTGTAATGATTTTCACACGTGTCTAGTCATAATGTCCAGTCACTGGCGGTTTATAATTGAGTACGGCTTTTGTAAAGTCTTTTTTGAGCCTTCCTTTACAAACTCGATGTAAGTTCTTATGTTTTTTGTTATTCCTTTTTTCGCTCTCGTCATAAACTATTAACTTCGCGTATAATTTGTTTTACACTATCGTGGCGACGTGAATAATGACCGCAGTCTAGTAGCGCCTTACAACCTGTCAGTAAGTGCCTGGCTGTTTACCTATTTCCGCACTCACATCCTACAAGCCTTTTCTGTAGCTTTTCCCCACCTTAATAAGTTGCTTTGCTAGAATGCTTTGCAAAAGTGACAAATAAATATTGGATATATAATCTTTCCTATGCTTCATCATCAGCCTATCAGCGTCAACGGGTGGACATAGGCCTCTCCCATTGCACGCCATCAGCGAGCACCCAGCTCCTGCCAGCCATCTTGCGCAAATCGTCACTCCACCTGGCCTGTGGGCGTCCTACGTATGTCATGACGGGTAGGACGCACTCATTGAGGACTTTTGTCTTAAGGCACTGTGGGATCGACGATAAGAAGACTCGACGTAGCTTTTCAAACGCTGTCCAACCCAACTGAATTCTTCTGTTCACCTCGTCCTCGAAGTTGTTTCTACCTAACTGCAATGTCTGCCCGAGGTACACATAATTTTGAACAACTTCGAGAACGGCACCGTGTACATGACCATGGTTTTGTCCAAGTTCATCCGTAGGCCGATGCGTACACAAGAGTCAGCTAGGTCATTCAGCATCTGCTGTAGATCCTGCAACGTCTCTGCCATGATGACGATGTCGTCTGCAAATCGCAAGTGAGAGATGTATTCGCCATTGATATTGATGTCACACCCTTTCCAGTGCAGCGTCTTGAACATGTCCTTCATTGCATTTGTGACCAATTTCGGGGACATAACGTCCCCTTACCTCACTCCTCGATGAACGGTATAGGTTTGGTTTGCTGATTCTGCACTTGGACGGACATGGTGGCGGCTTCGTAGAGACATTTCATCACTTGTATCGCCAATCTACTTGCCAACGCTGCAGGGACTCCAGAACAGACAGATTTTGATCGAAAGGCTTTCTCATAGTCCACGAATGCTAAACACAGGGGCTGATTATAATCTTAGGTCTTCTGTATAGTCTACTGTGTGAATGTGGTCTATGGTGCCATATCCGCTCCAAAACCCTGCCCCTCCCTCTCGACTCTCGAAAACGGCTTGTAGACCTGGCTTAGAAGGGATATGGGTCGATAGTTCTTCAACATGGTCTTGTCACCCTTTTTGAAGAACAAGACGACAATCAATTCCACACACACTGCACACACAAACTTCCGGAGTTCTCCCTTCAAACAGGACAGCGTTGAAGAGCTTTTGGAGCTTCCTTAATACAGGTTTACCCCCGGCCTTTAGCAACTCTGTTGTAACGCCATCCTCTCCAGAGGCTTTTCCATTTTTCAGCTGTCCAAGAGCCCTCTCGATTTCGTCAATGCTTACTTCTAGCAGGTCTTCGGTGTAGTGACGTGTTAATGTGGCTCTGGAGTCCTACTTTTCGGGATCAGGTTGAGATGCATGCGAAGCGTATAACCGGCCATAGAAGCTTTCCAGTTCCTAAAGGATTGCCGGCTTCGAAGCAACGACTTCTTAACTTGCTGAGGTCAACTTTGTCCGGTGGCTTCTTCCAAGAGATTGTACGAACACTTTTGATCCCCGATTCGATCAGTCTTTCAATTGAAAGAGTATTGGAGCACCGGAGGTCGTGTCGTACGAGCTTACTGATCTCTCGGTTTAGAGTCCGCTTTGCCGACAAAGTGACAGGTGGGTTACTCTGCTCGAGTTGGTATTGGTTGGTATTGGCCTGGATTTCATCAAACAGACACGTTCAGCCTTAAAGTTGATATTCAGACAGCCGGACAAGTCGGTGATCACTACCGATATTAAACCTATTGATTACTGGGACGTCTCTGAATATGTGCTTCCTATTCGTCATGATGAAATCGATCTGATTTCTGGTCATAGCGTCGGGGCTTTGCCACGCTCTCTTCCTTTGGGGCAGTTTCTTGTAGAAAGAGTTCATCGATGGAAGGAGGAAGTTCCCGTTCGAGGAAGTTGACCAGCATTTGCCCCCTATGATTCCTGCTTCCAAATCCATGGGATCCTACTACCGATTCGTAGCAATTCTGTACTCCCACTTTAGGTTGAAGTCAGCCATATCAACGTTGTAGTGGGTCTTAGTTGTGAAGTGGAGGGCCCTCGATATTTCATGGTACATATCCTTCACCTCGTCGTCTAGAGGTCAGTGCGTACACTTGCACAACCTTGAGGCTATACCTCTCGGTGAGCTTGATAATGAGGTACGCTACCCTGTTCGAGACACTGGAAATTTCCACAAAGTTGTCAGAAAGGGACTTATTTACCAGAAACCCAACGCCACCTTGGGATTGTTGGTCTCCCTTGTGTAAGTGCATTACGTGTAGAGACGTGTGTAGTTTTTTTTTTTTGTATTAATAGACAAAATTAAAGTTGCGAATTGCACATTTGATAATATTTACTATAAAATATTAATAACATAGTTTAATTTACCGTAACGATATAGCCGCCAATTTTGTATCCAACGGTTGATTGTTCACAATATTACGTAGAAGAGACAAGGCTAATTCCTTATGGCCTTTAGCCCACGATACTTCACTCTCGACTAGAGCAATATCATTATTCATTTGTGACTTTGAAGCTATGGCTAACAAACGTTGCGCCATTTGAACTCTGTTATTATTTAAGGCTATTTCTGAAACAAATAAGACATCATAAATAGCGCCGGCCTCAAGTGAAGGGCATGGTCGATCAAGATAAAATTGAACTATGACGTTCTAAAAATACAAACCCACTTTGATTATAGGTAAGTTGCCGTTACTTACTTGCATATTTAACTTGCAACGAAACTATTTCGTTCATGGAACATGTATGTGATTTTGCAGCGTGTTCCAGTATCAAAACTCGCTGAGACGCCAATGCTTCTATATGCTTGAAATCGTGAAATTGTGGTACGTTTTCAACATCCCACCGCTTAAGCAGATCTAGTAAATTCAGACGATTTCTTCGCACTTCATAGTAATCTTCAATGTCTCTAAACGTATGAAGCTTCTCTAAAATCTTGTATATATTTTCACAGTTTTCCAAATTTAAATTGTGACATAATCTAGACACAGTTAGTTTTGCATTATTTAGAGGTATCATTAATTTATCTTCAAATTCAGGCGTTGTTTGAATATGTAAACAGTTTTTGAGGCACGCATATTGGAATGCTTTAAGAACCGAGTGTGGGTTGTATCCTTTTAATTTATGCTTTTCGGCTAATTCTTTAGTGTCTACAAAATCACTCCAATCGCCTAAAAACAACAAGTTTTATTTTTTGAGTGAAATATAACTTTACATTCAAATAGAATAGTATTCAATGTTTTTCCTGCTACAAGTCACGACGAGATTATACCTTGGTGATAATGTCTGTCTATTGTCAATAATTGACATACAATAGGAACATTCTATGAACATTTATTACCACCCTAATGCAAAATGTTGGCATCAGGCAACTTGGGCTATTTGAGGACTACCTTAGTGAGCGTACCCAGAGCGTTAAGATGGATGATTTTATTAGCGAAGACCGAATAGTGACGTATGGAGCGCCTCAGGGAAGCGTCCTTGGCCCTACGCTCTTCCTTATCTACGAAACGACCTGGGTAGGCTCACTTTACATAATGGCAAAATTATAACTTTTGCTGATGACACCATTCTGCTCTATAGAGGCAACACATGGGATGGCGTTTTTAAGTGTGCGCAATCAGGCTTCAGCGCTGTGACTAATTGGATTCGAAGGCTCCTAACACTAAATGCATATAAATCTAAATACTTCGCCTTCTCTCTCAAAGCAGCCGCAGGGTCACACGTTGATCTATACAAAATTACTGCTCACTCCTGCCCCAACCCGAATGATAACCTTACATAGGTTATCGTTCGTTATTGCAGTACTCTAAACAGAACGGATAATTTGAAATACCTTGGTGTGATTGTCGATAGTTGTATGAGGTTTCAAGATCATTTTGACAGTCTTTACTCTAGGTTACGTAAACTGATGTATGTTTTCAAAACAATGAGGAGCACCCACATACACACACACACTAGTACACATACTCACATACGTACACACACATACGTACACACACACTAGTACACATACGTACACAAACGTCAAACGAAACGCAATCTACAACCCACAAAATTTGTTAAAACTAAATCCTAAAACTAGCGAATGCAATGTTGCCATCAAGACAATTTAAAGAGGGGAAAGACCGGGTGAACTGAAATACAGGCTAAACGCCTACCGTAGATACGTGTCTTCCACGGTATTTTTGTAATTGTTTTAGTTATTGTAATTGTTATGATTTTGTGGTCAGAAAAATAAAATTATTATTTATAACATTTTACTGTATCTAAGCAAAGTTAAACATCCGAATGTCCCAGTAATATAGATAATGACAAAAAAAAATGTTGGCTTCCGCAAATACATTTGACAATAAAAAAAAAATCAATTAATTGGAACTTACCAAGGAATGACAAGCATTCATATTTGACGTCATTTAAGTTATCGCTTTCTGGTAAGGATTTGATGTACCTTAATGCGAGATTGTGCATACCAGATTTGTGCAATGATCGTACTACACCATACTGGAGGTCGCATTCTGATTGGGTCCCGTAAGACAGTGCGATATCATGCAGCAATAATGCATCCGAGTATTGGCCAGTATTTATGAGGTGCTTATGTTTTTCATTCTCTATAGTTAAATGTGCAGTACCACAGCCCTCTACGGCATCCATTTCTCCAATAGACACGTAGCACTGAAAGAAAAAACATTATAATATATAGTTCATAATATGAATGACGCGAGCTCAGAGATGTAGGTATTTATTGAGGAAGTATCAATTGATTATCTATATGTATAAAAATGTTAAGGTGGTTTGTGTACGTTTATAAACTCAAAAAGTTCTGCACTGATTGAGTTCAAATTTTGATACAATATACAAAACGCTTCAAAGATGGTTTTTATCCATTTTTTTGCAACCCCAATGTGCCACAGCGAAGCGTGGCAAGGTACACCTAGTTTTTATTACATAAGCATTTCATTAATTCATAAACAATTTCCTCCCTATAAACACAGTTATGCTTGGAAGTTTTTAGGTGCCGACCTTTTAATATGTCACAAAGGTTGGTCGAGAACAATTATATTATAGTTTCTTTTTCTTATAAGGAACAGTAAACTCACTTTCCTAAGGATTATTTGGAGTATTTCTCCACCTGGTAAATTGGTAGTTGCTTCTGGTGAGCATGGCGAAACACCACTGTTCTGGAACACGCCCCAAAGCTCTCCATAGTAAATAGCTGCCCAGTTCTGGTCGATATATGCCGCTGCCCACGCCACTTTATCATATTCGAGTTCTAAAAAATTTAATCTTTTCTTCGGACATCCAGGCCTGCGATATGTTAAAAGAAAATTGATCAAATAGTCATTGTTAAAATCTCGTTTAAATTAGGGTACAGAAGTTATGAATATGTTAACAAGATGGAATCAATAAAATTTTAACAGAAATATGTGTGTGTTTATTCATTTGAAACACAAGGCATTTCATACCACCAAAAATATATCATCAACGTTGCGTATTACGCGAACGGATGTTTACACTAAACTTAATTGTAGTATTAAGTGTAAACTAATGTAACACTATGTAATGAGACATAAAACTGTATTGCCTAAACGCCAAACTTGTCAATAAAGAAGGACAATGGCAACACTAAATAAATCGACTGCGATAAGGCATGTTTCATGCAAACCTCTAATGATGACACATTAGTAGCATCACGAACATGACGCACAAAAGCAATAATTGAGTTCTGACAAAATTTATAAAGATTACTTATTAAAATGACGTACTATGAATTTCGGAATACATAGTACGTGAGACATAAAAAAGTATAGTACGATAAAGATTGTTGGATTGTACAATGATTTACTAGAATATATTTTTGATGTTATAATATGAAGAAAATCGATTTAATAATTTTGTACTTTCAGATCGTGGCTTCTTTAATAGCAACAAGTGTTAAAGTGTTTCTTACCGCACTGACCAAAAGCTTCTTTGCATTCGAACAAAATCTACGATGTCCAGCATGTACTGACTGATGACTTTATGCCCATCTGGTAGCGCGTCTGGTGCAGTAGACGTAATAATACTATTACCACTACTTTCTAGTTTATTATCAAATGTTTGTTCGTAAATATAGTTAAATAATTTGTTTATATGTTTTCCCACAGCCTGAACGCGTTTGTCACTCAAACATTCCAGTAATAAACCTAGTAAGGCGGGTAGTATTTTATGGCAAACATGTGACTGAAACATAATTTGTTATAAATTTGATAAATAAATATATATTGTGATAAATTCCATAGAAATAGATCCTATATGATAAACAGTTAAATATTTATTCTCTTATCAAATAAATATTAACGTGGAGAACGGAAGTGATAATTTTTTAATAAAGTAAAATATTAAGAAAATACTTAAAATTATTTAACGGGAACTGACAGTCAGCCTGTGACCACGGCCGGTGCAACCTGGTCGAAACGTCAGGCAAACCAGAGGTATGTAATACCCTAAATAAGAGATCGCGTTAATTCCCGTTAAATAATATTAATTATCATGGAACGCGAAAGTTTAAAAAAAAAAAAAAAAAAAAAAAAAAAAAAAAAAAAAATTAAGAAAATACTTAAGGAAAATATGTTGAGAATTCTTTTATACTTTAGCTTTTTAATTTGAAATTAGCTGACTAAATCTATAATCATTACCTTCAAGATGCAAACTTCTCGTAAACTATTAACAAAATCAGTCGATGAATTGACGAATTCCAATAGGGTACAAGTGACTTCCCTCAACCAATCATCTTTATTTTTGCTGAGGAGCGCGTTTAAAAAAATTCCATCTGGAAATATTGTGTAATATTGTTCAAACTTCAGGCCATCAACGTGCGTGTCGTTTGTTATTGTACTAGTAGACGACAGTGGTTTCAATATTTCTTTGTCAACATCTTCTATCTCTGAAATTGTAAAACAATATTATCATTAATTTAAAGGTAGAAGATACATACCGAGTGCAATTATTTTGGTAAGTTGTATTAGATACAAAAATTAGTAATATTCAAATAAAAATAAACACACTAAAATAAATACAAATAAATTTTTGGATATAAATACTATACCCGTGACGTCATTAATGTCAAAGCACTGAAGTAACTTGATCAAAGCTGCTGACACTTCGTTGGTGACATTAGGATCCTCATCAAAGATAACTCCTAGAAGTGCTTTCACAGTAACTTGAATAAAGTATGCCTTTGGATTTACATTTTTTATACCATCAGTATTAATTGGTGATACTGTGACGAGGGTTTTCAAGTCATATGAACTGATCTCCGATAAACAATTACAGGCTTCAATAATAGTCTGAAAATGGTTAAAAATAAATAAACAACTGTCCTCTGCTGCAAAACGCGTCACGAAGTAAATTATAGCATACTACATTTAGTTTTCTTTTATTTGCTATTATTATTTTTTACCATTTGTACGAATTATGATACGTATTACGTATACCTATCATAATTTTATTTTTATATTTTTAATCAAGAAATGATTACAATTAAATATTGACAGAGCATAATAATGTTTTCTGTGATATAAGTAAGTTTTTACTAATATTATTGTAGTATCGTCGGTTCAGTATTCCGCATTCATTTTTTTTATATTTTTCGCTATAACAGTGAAAATTTTATTATACTTTTTAATACAATATTATTTTTTTAATTCAAATTCTCATTGTTGGGACTTATAATTATTTCAAATGGTATAATATGATGTACCCACATAATACCATAGTTAAAACTTATAGTGTTATTCAAATTTCAATGTGTAAATTTAGAAAAGCAAAAAAAAATTCAGTTAATATTTTATATAAACTAACCTTTTCATCATTCGGCGACTTCAGAATATTACAAAGTTCGTAGATAATTTGATGAACTAAACTAGTCTCACAATCTTCAGAAAATCTTTTGGATTCTAATTCACGGTACAACATAAGTGTATTGTCATTATTACAGGTTAAAAATTGACGCAACTTTAGCAGTGTCTTGTGACTGTAAAAAAAAACATTCTCTTCATTCAAAACAAAGCAAATAACAAACAGCCCTGACAAAAACAATATTGTATGTACCTTGGGCGGCTCAAACTGATTTTATGAGCTCTTAACTTCTCTTTGAACATTGTCATAGTGGCGCAAACGCTATTGTCTACAATGCCTTGGGACATGGAATTAAGAAAATCGACTACATCATTGCTTCCTGTTAACAAATCCTTCATATCATTAAGTAAATAATTTAAAAGTGAGGCGCACTCTTGTTCAAAGCCCTTTTCTCTTTTAATTACCAGCACTGGTAACAGCTCCAGTAGTGTTTTTTTCATTAACGGTGCTGTATGGGGTAAGAAGTAATCGAGGACGATCCTCAATCCTTTGACCAGGACTTTCATCAGATTAGTCTCATTACAATGTTTGATAGCCTGTGTGAAACTGTTACAAGCGTAGTTACATACAAAAGCGTCAGAGGGTAAGCCCACAGGAAAGTTTTTTAAAAATGTAACAAATGCATGCATGGCAAGAGCCTTATATTCAAATATTTTTTCTTGCATAACATCTTTCCATAATTTAAATAATATTTTCAATATTGTTATAGTTTGGTTTTTACAAAGGTAATGAACGATGCTTTCATCTGTAATGCTCTGAAAAAGAATAAAAAACGATTTTTAAAATTCACATCATCATCACATCAACAGCCTTTAACAGTCCACTGATGGACAGAAGCCTCTATTTAGAAAGGAGGTTTTGGCCTACTATTTATATATATCTATATCCTACAATTCAATTAACCTTAATTGCCGCCAAACGAATCTAACCAAAGACAAGTTTTATCTTATCGTATTTAGATCTTGAGTGATGTAAAATACCGGCAAATGGAACAAACTTATTTATATTAAGTAAAAATTAAAATTAATAAATTTGATTAATATTCAATGTGCTCAGTATGAATACGATTCATATAAGGTACATTAGTTTACTTACTTCAAAATATTGAAGTATAGCTGAGAAAATGCTTTTCGGATAATAGTAATATTGTCGCTGTGGCCTTAACTTTATACCAAACTCTTCTTCAGTATTATCGTAGTCCCTCACATGAGACGCTGCTAGCATAAGTAAATCCCCGATATTCTCCACAAACAAGTTGTTCCATCTATCATTTTTTAAAATTTCATGTGTCTCTATAAACATACGATCCGCATTTTTCAGAGCCCTTTTAAAATCGTTTCGTTTATTCAATGGATAGTATTCTACACCATACTTTTCGCTTACAATGTATGGCAAACACAATGCGATAACATTTGGAAAACAAGTCTGAAAATAAAACATGTATATTTTTCACAAAATATGAATCTAAGACTGCTTCGACACAATGTCCTGTCACAAGTTTGCAAACAAGGGAGGGAGGAATGTTTGGTCACTCTTACTCTGGATCCTTGTAATAACTTCAGATAGACATATTAATCTGGTCAATTCTGCTTGCTACTAAATGGAAAGATCATTGGACCACCGGTCTGTAGCATCATTTAAAGGTCAATATCACGTGTGTACTGTTAAGACTTTATCGAAAGAAAAATGGGTATGTTAATTTTCATTACTTACTTCAAGTACATTTTGAACAGGCAGTGTTTGTGATTCAGCGACATATTTTAATATGTCGCTTTGGACCACATTTCCCTCCTTGAACCACAGTATCTGACCTGCAATAAGCCACCCCTTATGGTTCTCTAAGAATGAATCCATATCATCATAACCAAACAGAGTTATCGGTAAATCATTCACAGTGTTATGTTTGGAAAACCAGTAATGTATTATTGAGAGAATGTGATAATTTAAATAAGATGTAAGATCTTCAATGCCTGCAGTTTTTGCAATTCGATTCAAGACTTTGAAAACTGTTTTTTTGTCTAAACATTTAGCTTTTTGTAAGTTCATAACTTCAAGTATTATACTTTGAATATCTGACGGGTGGGCCTGTGCCAGTGCAAAGTAGCAATGAAGCACTGTGAATGTCCTGTTAGCCGACTCGTCTTTTAGTACTAGTTGGTTCTCGTCATCTAATATCTGAAAGAATAAAAGTACATTATAATAAATTGGTACAACCCTTCCAGAGTGTCAAAACGAACGAAAAATAGCACGCATATTCTAGTAACAAGCAGGACGGCACGGAACTTTATTGCTGTAAGCATAAAGGAAATAGATTGTCATCCGAAATTGTTTACGTTTATGGTGACTTCCTATTGTTCACTAGAACAACGTGTAAACTTTCTACTAACTTACGTCAATCAAAAATATATCAAGCAAATCAGATGATAAATTCTCGATGTTACTTCTCCCATTATTAGTCAACTTCAGTAAGTAACAACAATATATACGCATGCTGTGTACCTCTCCTTTGATTTTAGTTATGAAAGCACTTTGAAAAGCTCTGTCAATAGCTTCATCTTGTTTCTGATTTAATACAAGGAGTTTAGCTGCACACTCATAAACGAGAGCAGCTACCTTGGGCGGATAATACATATCTGCACACAGTTGCAAGTAACTCTTTATCATTATAAAACAATTATTCTTTCTTATATTGTCATGCAAACACAACTTGTCAATATTGTTTACTAATATTTTAAGTATTCCATAAGACGCCTTTGAATTTCTATACAATTTGCGACACAAAGTTTGCAACAATGTTAATACTAAACCTGCAAATTAAAAAGTAATATAAGAAATGAAGTGTAACAAAATATATCTCATTGTCAATTCACTCAATAATTACCTAAAGGTGGAACTTTTACATTTGCTTCTGTTAATATGTCTATGGTTTGAAATATACATTGCAAATCAGTATCAAAATTATACATGCCGTCATCTAATATCAATTTCACAAGTTCGTCTCGATATTCTGCTTCTTTTCTGCAATACGCGGCAAGGACAAAGAAACAATTATGTTTCAAACTATTAAAATTCATTTCATCCTCATCTTCATCCACAGAAACATTACCATCACTAGTTTCGACTTCCGTATTTAATACATTATTAATAGTATGAAATAAATCTCCATCGATGCTAGATCTTAGCACACTCGTAAGCAGGTAATGGAATTCAGTAATCAATAGTTCTTTTACCAGTTGAAGTGCGTTAAGCTTAACGGGGATATGTGTATTACTTTGCAGCATAGTATTCAATGCGGAGTACATGCATGATAATATCGTTTTTAAAAGACCAAACACTTCCATAGATTTTACTTCATCTTGAGAGTTAATGTTATGTACTAAAAGAATATCTAAGTATGAAATGACGAGATTGATTAATTTAATAGTGTTTAATAAATTTGCTTCTTTTTGACGGAGCTTCAAAATAGCTTCCATTAGAACTGTTTTGAAATATTCTTTTATTTGATTTTCAATAACTTCGACGGTTTCAATTCGACCGTTACGTTTTTCTGTTTTTTTCAGTGTAATTGAGTTGTCTATTTCGAACTCAGTAAATAAAATACACTTTTCGTTGGAATCAAATAATATTTCTCGTAGGTTTTTATACTCAGAATCAACATTACCACACGCTATGATATTTACATTTTCATTAGCAAGTAGTCTAAATATTATTTCTGCTACGTTTTTAATACAAACAGATGAAATATCACACGCAGTCAGCCACAAAAGGCATTTAGCTCGACAATCTTCAGATCCTACTTTACTGTACCAGTGTTGAAATACCGTGCTCAAACTCTTGACGGTATGTGTAGTAAGAGGTATATCACTTTCAAGGTATAACTTAACTAGTTGTTGTACTTGAGGGTATTTAACCGTATCTGTTTCTAATAACTTTTGAAGAATGGTATGCATAGGTTTATGCGATGCAATGACTGAAGTACAATTTCTGAAAATAAAACATTTCATTATCTATACTAATATTATAAAGCTGAAGAGTTTGTTTGTTTGTTTGAACGCGCTAATCTCAGGAACTACTGGTCCGATTTGAAAAATTCCACCAATGAAGAATGTTTCAAAAACGGAGAAAACGCGCAGACGAAGTTGCGCGGGTCAGCTAGTGTAGTATATAATTACTCATTTGTGTCGAATATGTAGGCACTTTGATTCCATTGCATTTTATCGCGAGATCTGCACGATTTGAGAAAAAATAAGTCCGGTACTCTTGTATCTCACAGATAGCTCAAACTGAGATTTGGGCGTCATTGAGTATTGAGCACGATTCGTTCCATCTAACAAAATTGATCGTTATAATACTAAAAGATATATATGTATGGACTTGTTGTTAATCCATCAAAGACCAAAGTTATTGTTGCAGGCAGTCCCAGGATGCACTCTGAAATCGACTGGTCTGATTTACCTGACATCAAATTGGTGGTGTTGTACTTTCAATCAGTGCTTGTGTTTAAAACCTAGGAATTATAATTGATAGTACTTTATCCTGGGGCCCTCAACTACGCGAAGTTATGGGACTAATCCCACCCACACGCCCACCACTGTAACCCCTGTACACCAAGATCTACAGCAGTGACCCACGAACACACCGAGTTATGACACTCGGGAAGTCCCAGGAAGAAATTAAACTGTCTTGGAACCCGCAACGAAATTAATCAGAAGAAAATTAGAGGAGTTGGAAATACAGTAAATCCACTTCCCTCCTTAGCAAAGCGGGAGACAAAATGAAATAAAATGGGCATACACCCTTTTAAACAGGGAAGCACCACGGCCACAAAATATTACGGGTCCTACGTGAGCTATATTTGATTTCTATAATATGTATGGCAGAATCGCCTAAACGCACGGAAATTCACCCTAGTTGACACAAGATCCCCATAGTATACCGCCCCAGATGTCACCTGCAAGCTATTCAGCATTATATTACGTTCATTATACCAAAGACTACATTCCCAGAGGATATGATGAGCAGACTGTTCATAGTGAGAGTTAGGTGTTCAGAATTGACACAATGGTGACTCGACTAATTTAAATGAATAAAGCTTGCTCCGGCAAAGCCTCAGTGCTAGCCGTCCTATATGCCTTGCACAAGAATATCAGTGCAAGTCGTTGGCCTTGTAACAGTTTGCGACGGACAGCGCCTACGGTCGCCCTATCGGCCCATACAGGTGCACCATAGCACATATGTAGAACCTAAATAAGTAGCTCCGTATATGATCTTTAATATATTAAATTAACACGTAACTCCGCCGATTACCAATTAAACTCGCAGCCCGCTAGGCCTAGGCACCGGTAGACTAGAAGGTATCTATTGCTATTTTAATGTTACCTGTTATATGGACGGTCGCACTTATTTTAGTTTTTTCACTTAGATTTCTAATTATTTTAAAAGTTTAGTGCTCTTTGTTAGTATTGTTTGAAGTGAGTTCCAATTTTTTTTATTTGATCTACAATATTAATATGACGTAGGTATTGTATTTCAACTTGATCAGTGATTTAGGCACAGATGACAGGGGTAAAGGGTGACGTACCTGATGCAGGAGTTCCACAATGATATCAATGTGTTATCATTGTCTTCATTTTTATACATCAAACTATATAAGTTTTGTAACGCCATACATGTTAATTCTTCAAAGATATCCCAATCTAAATTACCATTGTTGTTGGTCAATATTGTGTGGAGACAGTTCAGTAACAGTGAAAAATCTGTAGTAGATAGGCTGCTGTAATAATTTTTAACGTACGAATTGACGATTGCCATCCTAAAAATTAAAATAACATTATTTTATATAAAGCGCAATTTTAAATCTCAAAACTTGGCAGAAAATAGTAACCTCTAGCCACACTTGCTTTGATATAAGTGCAATTACTTAATATTAAGATGAATATAATACTGTCGAAATATACAAATACCTAGTAAAGAAAAATATGGTAGCTATGAAAACTTTTAAAGTGTAATCACTTTAATCTCAATAAAAATGAAGAAAGCAGGCAAAGGAGTATCTTCACCTGCTACTTTCACATGTTTATTATTCAACTATATGTTGCTTGTGTTTAACATATAAAAATTTTTAACATGCGTAACATACGCATGTTAAAATTTAATTTGGGAATTTGTTGCTTTTGGACAAGTAAGGAGTATTTTTCAAGCATACTTTCAGCAAGGTAGCATAAAAAATAATTTTACAAACAATGTCAAGTGAGGTGACCTTTCATTGTATACATTTATTTTATAAATATTATAATACCATGGTATTAGATTCTGCTGCAATTCCATTATTAAGTCACTAAAATGTTTGTTTTTGTTGAAATTCAGTCTAAGTCTCTTTGAAGCACTTTCATCTTCATTGTCGTTGTGCTCATAAAGCCAAAACACCTGTAATCAATTGAAAGTGTATTTATTTTACAGAGCAGGTCACTACTGTAGCAGTTTAGTAAGGATGAAAACTTTTTTGAGTAGTATGCATATATAATTTAAGTATGTATACTTAAATTATATTTGCATACTACTCAAAAAAGTTTTGAGTAGTATGCAAACATAATTTAAGTATACATACTTCAGTATGTAGTAGTAATTTAAGTAGTGTACATGTAATTTAAGTATGTATAGTTAAATTATAAATGCATACTACTCAAAGGTGCTAGGTCGACTTACCCAGTAACCCTACCCTGTAGGGTTACTGGGTAAGTCGAACCTTTAAGGGGTTGTAGTTGCCATCATTTCTGATGATTTCACTATGAACGACCGTATCCCAAACCTAACTATTGTCTTTCATAGTGAAATCTATCAGAAATGATGGCAACTACAACCTCTTAAAGTATCTAGGTCGATTTAAACACTAAACCTGTATATATATATATATAATAAGATATACGATTTTATTTGGGTGAAGCCTGATCACGAAAAACTTTCAGTGATGGTGTAACTTGTAATCTTTCTTTAATAAAGTACATTATGGCGTTCTTGATACATTTGTGGTATGTAAGGGCGACCTTCACTAACACCAAGAGTTCAAAAACGCTATGTTGGACTTTTAAAATTGAGGCAGATTGCATGCGTTTGCGATGGTGAACCCCATGGCGTTTATACACATTTAGAGCGTAATAAAACAAAATTTTTACCTGATAATATGTTGAGGCAGCTAAATCGTAAAAATAAGATTTTTTCTGAAATATTCGATCATTTTGTCTTCGTGACTTTTGCATATAGCTTACTTCTAGACAGATCAACTCAGTAATACTGTTCAACGATCTGTTCCACTGTTCCCAGTTATTCGCCAAACTTCCTTCTTCATGTTGGCGTCTACCTTGTGGATGATGAAGGGCTATGGTGTGATGTAGCAGCTTGAACAGCATCACCTGGAATCAACATTTTTGTAATTGTATAATTATTATTTTCTAAAATAAAAAATCTTTTGTCCATTTTTATATAAAATACTCATGTTCAGGATATCAGGAAATAGCTCTCGAAAACGAAGGATAACAATAGTACTAATGATACCTTTGATCATGGATCAGAAAAAAATCGATCCGTCGTCGATTGCCGATCGAGCATATCCCTAATACCCTGTATCTCATCGTCCCAATTTGTCAGTTATCTGCTAAAGTTTTGATTTAGAGGTCGCAGCAGGCAGCAATCTACTAGTAAATAATTATTGTGTACTATAAAATACTACATACATACTATAAAAACCGAAATATTGCAAAGAAGCGATCGCTAGGATCGCTTCTTTGCAATATTTCGGTTGTTTTTTTTTTTTTTTTTTTTAAAAGACAACGCCCGCATTAGGAATAAATCCTGTGTCGCGGGGGAGTTCACAAACATACATGAAACGGACACAAAGAACACCCAGACTCAGAACAACAATTTGTGGATCACACAAAGTGTCGTCCCATGTGAGGTTTGAACCCACAACACTCGGCGCAGTAGGAAGCGGCGTGGCGACCGCTTAAACCACTGCGCCATCCGTTATTAGTCCGTTAATAGTTTCTCAAACAGTTCAGAACAAGCAAGTCACGTTTACATTTTGTTTTCGTCTAATTCGCATATGATTTATACGAGTAAGAAGTAGAATACTTTGAACTGACAATAACAACAACTGCCGCCTACAAGATTGGCTGCGGCTCTGCTTTCTTTTTTGACGTGTGCAAACCCAAACAGATCGGCATCTCACTTGGGATGGTGGTATGTCCAACTCAACCGACTACTCTTTGCTTCAGAGGCCGTAACTAACCGATCACGGTAACGGCGGTGCGGAGAATCTCCGGGCTACGGGAGGCCACCACAACCGACTGACCCTGGCTTCGTACAACGGACGCACGCTACGGCTAGACTCGCATCTGGTGGAACTTGGGAAGATTAGGTGGCATATCCTAGTGTGAAGTCCGAAGAGAGGGTGAGGACACTGTAACCCTCGAGTCAGGCCACCTAATGTACTTCCGCGAGGGAGACCAACAATCCCAAGGTGGCGTTGGGTTTCTGGTAAATAAGTCCCTTTCTGACAACGTTGTGGAAATTTCCAGTGTGTCGAACAGGGTAGCGTACCTCATTATCAAGCTCACCAAGAGGTATAGCCTCAAGGTTGTGCAAGTGTACGCACTGACCTCGGCACACTTGGACGACGAGGTGGAGGTAATGTACGATGACATATTGAGGGCCCTCCACTTCGATGGATCCCATGAAAAATGGCAAAACCCCTGGAGAGGTTGGCGTCACAACAAAGCTGCTAAAAGCCGGGGGTAAACCCGTACTAAGCGAGCTCCAAAAGCTCTTCAACGCTGTCCTGTTTGAAGGGAGAACTCCGGAAGCGTGGAGTAGGAGTGTGGTCGTCTTGTTCTTCAAAAAGGGTGACAAGACCATGGTGAAGAACTATTGACCCATATCACTTCTAAGCCACGTCTACAAGCTGTTTTCGAGAACGGTCTTGCGCAAAGACTCGAATTGCAACCACCGAAGCAAGCTGGGTTTTGGAGCGGATATGGCACCATAGACCACATTCACACAGTGCTGCAGATTATACAGAAGACCCAAGTGTCTGTGTCTAGCATTCGTGGATCGAGATCTGGTCTGTTGTGGAGTCCCTGCAGCGTTGCCAAGTAGATTGGCGATACATCAGAGTGATGAGATGTCTCTACGAAGCCGCCACCATGTCCGTCCAAGTACAGAATCAGCAAACAAGGCCCGTACCATTGCATCGAGGAGTGAGACAAGGGGACGTTATTGCCCCGAAATTGTTCACAAATGCAATGGAGGACATATTCAAGACGCTGCACTGGAAAGGGCGTGGCATCAATATCAATGGTGAATACATCTCTCACTTGCGATTTGCAGACGACATGGCAGAGACGTTGCAGGACCTACAGCAGATGCTGAAAGACCTAGCTGACTCTTCTGTACACATCGAATACTTACGGATACTTGGATAAAACCAAGGTCATGTTCTACGAACATGTACCATCGGAACCGATTGCGGTACACGGTGCCGTTCTCGAAGTTGTTCAAAATTATGTGTACCTCGGGCAGACATTGCAGTCAGGTAGAAACAACTTCGAGGACGAGGTGAACAGAAGAATTCAGTTGGCTTGGGCAGCGTTTGGGACGCTACTTCGAGTCTTCTCATCATCGATCCCACAGTGCCTTAAGACGAAAGTCTTTAATGAGTGCGTCCTACCCGTCATGACATACGGAGCCGAAACGTGGACACTTACGGTACGGCTGGCCCACAAGTTCAAACTCGCTCAACGTGCTATGGAAAGGGCTATGATCGGCGTTTCTCTAAGGGATCGCATCAGAAATGAGGTGATCCGGCAGAGAGCCAAGATCACCGACATAGCCTACCGGATCAGCAAGCTGAAGTGGCAGAGAGAGGGCTGGCCATATTAGCCGCAGAACCGACAACCGTTGAGGAAAACGAGTTCTTGAGTGGAGACCGCGTCTCGGCAAACGTAGTGTAGGACGCCCACAGGCCAGGTAGAGTGACCATTTGCGCAAGATGGCTGGCAGGAGCTGGATGCGAGAAGCCTAAAATCGATCTAAGTGGCGTGCAATGAGAAAGGCCAATGTCCAGCAGTGGACTGCGATAGTCTGATGATGAACTAAACACCATGTAGGCGTTTATCTACAGAATTCCAGTGTGGTTTATTCCTAAAAATGGAATTCCTTGCTCATACGTGCTCACTTATAAATGCGGGGGGTTCCACACCTACGTCGAAAACCATCAATGCCCTTATAAATCCGATGGAGTGTGCGGAACACGTCACGGTTAGTGGGTTGCCTTCCTGCCGACACGCCGCGACGGGCTAAGATTAATGAGTATTTTGAGTGCATATGGGCTGTCAGTGATAGCACAGGTAACTATGAGGCCAATCAATTAGAACCAACCAACCGTTAGAGATATGTTAAGTGTTCTACTGTGTTGCAAGCAGTGGAAATGTCAAGGAGAGCAAGAATAGTAAGGTTTAAAACAGGGATTTGCCGTTATACACAACTACTGTATTTAAAATAATTATGTAGTTTTGCTACACTATGTTCCACTAATAGAGCTTAAAACTTAATTATTTATTGTTTAATAAGAACACTAGTACTTAACATGAAAATTCGGGGTTTGGGGTTTGTAATTTGTATTAGCAGTTGCTCATCTTATAGTAACAACTATTTCAATAGAATCAATTACGAAAAATCACAGTAAGGACATCATGAACAATATACTACTGTGATGTTGTTGATTTGAAGATATGAAATCAATAAAAACATGAAATTTATAATTGAGAATAATACAGGCTGTACTTTAAGATGTTACATTTGATGATGCAGGCACAATAATTTATATTAAACCTAGGAATCTACACGATTGAAACCCTCCTCGTTTTTTGCAGTAAAACCATTTTAAAAAAATTTACATATCTAATTTTTAAATATTACCTTTTTCTTTTGGTCTTTATTTGCATCATAAAATTTTAATACTGATGATAACATAATTTCAAGAAAGTGACATATGGTTAGCCTGTACTCCGAAGACAACTGAAATAATCAAAAAATATTTTAAATTAAGAAATATTAAGGCTTAAGTTTATTTAAAAAGTGTTATCATACCATTTCCAAAAGCAATATCATGACTTCTGTAATAACATCTTGCAGTTTTTTGTCATTGGAAATCTTTAATAAGTATTTTTCTAACAATGGCAAAGAATCAATAACTGGCCGTACAAATTGAGAATTCTCTTTTGCACTTTTCAAAACAAGAAGAACCAATCTAAGTTTTGTAAAGTGATCTAACTTATAATTATTTGTAACACACGAAGCCACACAAACATTCCACATATCTGCAAAATACCAATAACATAATTTATTCTTTCCCATAATTAGTAGAAGTAAAAAAATAGAAACAAATCTCCTTCTGAAAAACGAAAACATAAACTTCTTACAAAGTATTGTTTATTTAAAAACGTTAAAACTAAAAAGATTTATTAATTAATTAATTAGTTAGGGCCTTTTTAGGCTGGCTTTGTGGTCTAGTGGTTAGCAATCTTTAATGCTAAATCAAAGGTTGTGTTTGATTAGGGTCAAAATCCGATTTTTATATATTTCTAATAAATTAAGTGACATAAGATGTTACAAAGCTTTTTTATGATTTAGGGAGCAAACAGGTATAATAATATATATAAACTCTAAAGATGTAAGATCTAAGATGGCTTACATAATGTGACAATCTATAGAGGATCACTTAAAGTATTATGGAAAATTAAAGTATTTTCCTTGATTCACCCAAATCTTAATGTGATATATAATTAATATACTTACCCTTCCAAATTTTTGGTGTCATGTAATCCAAGTAGTATTCACATGGGAGAATGTATTTGAATAACAAATTTAAATAAGCATCACCAATAACTTTTGACAAGCGATTATCATTTAATACATAGAGACATATTTCTGTTATTTTTTCACATTTTAGATATGCTTTTCCTGAAAAAACACTTAGTTATATTTCAATTTTTTTACAATGTGGATGTGTGTGTTTTTACATGTCTTGGATTACATTTTTTTTTTAATTTCTTAGGACATGCAATATACTATATAGTGTTACTTTCTTGGTTACTCTAATAAAATGATATATTATTATATTATATAGGGCCCCGGTGAGTAGTGGGTGAGCTTGGCAGGCCCCGAATTAAATACAGTGACTAGATCAAGAGCATACTGAAGAAAGTAACCATAACTAAGGGCCCTGATTAATGAGGGAGACACACAGTTTGTGTTTAGGACCATAGAGAAGGGCATTCTATCATATCAGCCTACCCTGGACCCTAGACCCTGGAGGGGTGAGCATATGTATGTATGTATTATACTTGAAAAGAAAAAATATATGAAGTAGCATATAATGTATGTAACTAGCATAACCAAATATTTGCATGTAAAATTAGTATTTACTAAATGCTAATCCAAAAAAATTTACAACTCTGTCAATCAGTCCTTTACATTAAATTAGATTTTCTTACAATTATTTCTAGAAAATATTAATAGTTTCCTTTATGAAGTTTCTGAAATGTTTAAGTATGCTTTTTCTCAAAGAGCAAAGCTGCTTAAATTATTTTACCTATGCTATTGAACAGCAAAATTAAAGTAAATCTGAATTTATTTGTAGTTATTATTATCTTATATTGTATACATTATTCTTTAATATTATGTTTTTTGAGTAATTTAGTAAGTTTTAAGTTTCTATCTCACTTAAACCAATAACCCATTAGCTCCTGGAGAGATTACCTTTATTAGCTCCTGTGACACACAGATGTAGTAGGCTGGAACACAAAGGCCCTGTGATAGCGTCATACGTTTTAGATGTCTCATATTTCTCAGTTTCCTGTAGAGTAGTTTTTAAATCTCAATAAAAAATCTGTGATCAATAGCAATGAAAAGCGAATGTTATATTTATATACCTTTAAAATATATTCATTAATATCATCAAAAACATTATTCCATGTGTAACCTTTATTTTTTAAAGTATTTTCATTTAGTAACGAAGGCACGGCATTTCTTGTCAAAAATTCCTTTAGGTTTTCGGCACTTTTTTTACGTTCTGTTGCTCGTATAGATTTTAGGCCATTGCAGGCATCCTTTAATGTCAATTCCAAATCCATGCTAACTACTTAGATCCACTTATAATAACTTCAGTAATGTTCATCTTGCCTTCTTTGAAATCGTCACTTGCCGCCGTTACCGCCAGCCACCAGTCAGATATGTTTAATAATAATTTGACATGATTTGACACTGACACAAGTACACAACAAAATACATACTGATATAGAGACACACTATAATAGATACTAATAGGATACTATGGTTGTAGGTATGGAAAAAAATCACCGCAAACTGTGAAAGATGATTTTTTCGTACATAGGTTAGGGTTACTACATAATCACGCATTGTGGCCAATAAGCTGTTCAGACGATGCAAAAGACCCTTTAAGATTTACTGTTAAATACCGTCTTACCGGTCTAGAACCTACCTACCTACCAACCCTAACATACCTACGCAAAAATCGAACAATAAATAGAAAGAAAGAAAAAGCACAACACTAGATAATTTTGCAGCTTGAATTACCACCGATGCTAAATTGCTACGATGTGTACATACATCATGAGGTTAATAACATATAGCAATAATATATAACAAGACAAATAACATGGACAAACACACACGACATGTCTCTTTTTTAGGGTTCCGTACCTTAAAAGGTAAAAAAGGACAACAATCACAATCACTTTCTTGTGCGTCTGTCCGTGTGTTACTACCGATTTTCTCAGAAATGGGCAGACCTAGCAAGTTGAAATTTATACCAGATACTGAGGCCTATGGTCCCCATTAGGTGTATAAAAATCAAGGTCCTGAGCCAACACGTTAAGAAGAATTCGTCAAAGTGCGATTTTCGCGAAAACTTGTAAGTACCAAAATTTAAATTAATTTTCAATTAAGATAAATTTTGGTACTTACAAATTTCGCGAAAATCTATGTAAAATATGGGTAGGTACGGAACCCTCGGCGCACGAGTTCGACTCGGTTGAAAACCTGACCGGTTTTTTTTATGGTATAAGGAGGCAAACGAGCAGACGGGTCATCTGATGGTAAGCAACTACCGCCGCCCATGGACACCTGCAACTCAAAAGTCACAAGTGCGTTGCCGCCCTTGGAGTCCCTCCCGCTGGAGTCAGTTTTGAACATTACTTATTTTTCGGTCTTTCACAGTTCATTGTGATTTTGTCCTTGCCTACTATATACATGAAAGGAATAAATTGACTTCAACTTAAAGTTTCAAGAATAGTGTCAAGAGGAAAAAAATATGAAAACATTCAAAGTAGGTTAATAACAACACACGGAGCAAATACAAAGAGGAGATGGCATCAGGAACTGTGCACGGTGATTCTAAGTAGGTCCTGGCGTCATCATAGTGGGCGTGGCTTAAAATTAGTACACTCACCTTTCGACCTGTGCGCTTGTGTTGCAAAATCGCAAATCGGTACATTTTCGTGGTATTAAGAAAAGGATGAAATTTTTATTTTATCGTGTTAAAATAATTCGGATAGAAGTTTTATTGCTATGGATGGCATCGCATTTCATTGTCTCCGCATTCCATTGTGTCCGTTTCATGGATGTTTGTAAAGTCCCCCGCGACACAGGATATAAGCGGGCATTGTCTTTTTAAAAGAAAAATTAAAAGAAGAATATGAAAATGAAGGAGATTGTACTTACTTAGGTTGATTTTTATGAAATTTTTAAATTATAAGTGACAATCTTATTGCAAAAAAACAATTTGAACAATTAAAATATGTTTAGTTTTTGAAGTTTTTTGGCGGAATATTCCAAATTTAAGTAAATATTATTCGAAAACCATGTTATTTTAATTTAAAATTCAGTCATTTGTTTTAAATAGTGTTTTTTTGTGAAATTGTGGTAGTTTTTGCGGCCATAAATAAACTGAAAATTCGTACAATTTTCGAATATGAGTTCCTACGTGGACATACCGCAAACAACACGAAACAAGAAAAGTTACAAGAGTTAAACCTGGAAGTTCTCCGTTAGGTACCCACCGTACACACAGCAAGGTCCGCTGTGATGGTCTGTCGTGAAGCTTGCGCGTTGTCGTGGCGAAGCGGTGTGGAAGAGCGATTGACCAGTCGTGGTTGTTGAATTGCGAGCTTCTCCATCATTATTTGCAATTCTTGGCAATAGACATCTGCCATCTGAATGACTGAATTTGAAATTAAAATAAAATGGCTGTTTAAATAAAATTTATTTGAATTTGAAATTGCCTGCTAATCCATAGATAATTCATTCTGAAAATGCTGGTTTGAAAATCTCCAACTTCACAGGTAACGATATATTATTAATTCTTCATAAAGGAGCAGCGTCCTTGAAATTTTAGGAATTGATATGGATATATATACAGTAATGGACTTTTATCTTCAAATCTATTTCATATTAGAGCTGAAAAACCTAAACTATTTAATAAATAAGAAAAACATGTGTTTGTCTTTTTCAGTTCGCCATGTAGTAGAGCTTTATTACTCTTGATCTACATGATCTTAGACCATTTCAAGAATAAATAAAGGAAATAGAAAAAAAATTAAATAAATATTTCTTTTTACACAATGAAACATGAAAGTACAGACGTTACAACCAAGAGCGGTCCTAGTTAAAGATTTTTAGGGCGAGGGAGTCATGTTAATAAAACTTACATTCATATTTATAGAAGAAACTTAGATATACTTAGGTAACTGTTTTCCAGATGCAAGTATTCGGGTAATCTTCAAACTGGATAGCCGAATATGCGGCATACACAGATGCCGAATACACAGCGGCACATTTTGTTGATTGCCTTTTATGCGTTATGGCCATAAGAACATTTACTAGATGTACTTATGTTTACGTCACTTACGTTATACATATATTTAGAAACGTAAAAATATTTCCTGCTTTAAATAAGAAACTATCGATTATTAAACCTAGTCAAAAGTTTATTTCTTCTCTGCTAGGAATTGGTATTTAAATATAAGTATATTTAAAGAAAAATGTTATTAGCTTACAGATCTTTCGCTTAAATAATCTACTTACACATCTAATTTTACAAAAAAGAGGCGAGATAAGGTTCAAAAGATTTCGCCTTGAATTGGAGCCATCCGACTTATATCGAATGTCACCGAACAAAAGATACGCTAACTTATTTAGCTAAAGAATTTATGAAATCGGTTTAGTGGTTTAGGCGTGAAACCGTAACCTTGCTGATAATGTAGCTTTCGCTTGGTGAAACAATTTTTTAAATCGGTTAAGTGGTTTATGCGTGAAAGTGTAACAAACAACCTCACTTTTACATTTATAAGTATCATCATCATCAACAGCCTTTAATAGTCCACTGCTGGACATAAGCCTCTCCTTAGAAAGGAGGATTTGGCCTACTATACCACGCTGGCCAGACGGGTTGGTATAGGGTTTGTGTCAAGTTTTCCTTCTCTCTCCAGTGCTGTTGTTCTGCGTAGTTTTTTCCGTTAGTCGGCTCTTACGACACCCACGGGATGAATAGGGATGGTGACACTCTGTATTCTTAATCCGTCACCACACGGACCCTATAAGTATAGAGATACGGATAATATAAACAAGTAATTATATTTTACGTAATTGTTTGATTGACTATTGACATCATAGGAACCCTATGGCGCATCAGGAGCGATTGGAGCTGCTTAAAGCCCGGGTGTTAGAACTGAACCGACAATTGGGAGCTTTGGCTGCCGGCTGGTGCCATGGACAACTTTCGCTTCATATGAATTTAGCACTACGAGCAGCATCACTGTCGGGATCTGGTACCACAGCGACGCCAACGCTTTCTGACCGTAAAAAAGTATCTACTTACTCGTATTTCGATCGGTGTGAAAATATTTTTTTAAATCAATAAAGCCAAAATTCTTATCACGAAAGAGTTGCATCTAAATGTCAAACTATAATTTGACGGGCCTGTTGGTTTAGTGGTTAGTGAGCCTGCTAAGCCAGAGGTCGTGAGTTTGATTCCCACCCAGGACAAATAATTGTGTGATAAGCACGATTATTTGTTCTGTGTCTGTGTGTAATTTATCTATAATATGTATATATTGAGAAATATATAAGTATGTTTATCAGCAGTCTGGTTACAGTGGTAAAGGCTCTGCCTAGTTAGTAAACATACAGCCGTGTGTGTGATGTGTTAAGTAAAAAATTTAAAGTTTTAGTACATTTCTAAAATTATGTTTTGCACTGCGACCCAACGCTGCGTGTGACGCCCAAGCCAAGCAAAATGCCCGTGTGTGCTGAGCCGCGTCCTCACTGCAATCGGAGTGATGACAGGCGGGATTCAATTCCCTCCTATCGAACGATTGCAGAATCAGCCGTACCCAGAAAGAACCTGCTCAGCTCTAGACGCTCTGCCCACTCAACGATTGGCCTCAAATCAACGACCACTTGGAGTGCCTCTACGGCGGCAAAGCGAGCTCGTGGAGCATCCAGGCTGGACCGACCAACGAGCCATCGTGGCTCGGCGAGAGGCTTTACGCCCCTCGCGCTCCTCTTCGGGTGGGGGCCGAGCACTTCCTTCCCAAATCCCACGAGAGTGTTCCGGCCAGGCGTCGACACGGTGCTATAACCATGGTTCTAACTGCCAATGCCCTCTAAGGGCGTCAGAATAAAATATGATTTATAAGCTCAGACTTATTTTAACAGTGGCGTGCAATCATTTTTTGTATTAGGCTGAGTAAACTTGCTTTTTATATTCAAACCCAGAATAATATTAATATTAAATCTTAACATTTGGTAATAAAAATCAATAATGACACAATAGTAAACATACATCACAAACTACACAATAGACATTGAGATAATACATATATAATCAAAGCACTTACATAATTTTGGTGAATGCGCGCCTAATGCCGGGCGGTCAGAACTGCCGTCCACACTGGGGTACCGTACAGTGCCATTGACTCGACAACCCCGTGTACAGCTGTCTTGAAACGATGCTGGTTGGGCAAAAGTCACTTAAGAGCAGACGCAGTGCCGACCAGTTTTAGGGTAAGCTGTCGGGAGTGCTCATCGAAGAGCCATCTCCCGTCAGGTATAACCAACCCGTCTGGCCAGCGTAGCATAGCAAACAAAAATCTCCTTTCTAAGGAGAAGCCCATATCCAGCAATAGACTGATGAGGATGATGATAAATACCATAAACTAGATAACCTAAAACAACCCAAGGGGCCCTTGGTAGAATTTGCTACAGGCCCCGCGCTGTCTAAATCCGGCACTGTATATACCGCAGTTATTGTGAATATACCTACTAATTCGAGACTGCTGATGTTGTTATAAGAGAAATAATTAACTAATAAATCCATAGTGAAAACTACATGGGTACTACAACATACATTTTTGGCAAATCTTATGTGTTTGCCAACGCTCTAATCGTTGTTATAACCATGCATTTAATGTCGCCAAGGTTCGGATTTTCAAGCAAAATATCAGTTGAGAAACCACAAATCTTTTCTAATATTGAAAATAGAAAGACTTAGCGGTTTAATTATTATTTGGAACGAAGTTCCTTTTCGTGCGTTACACGCTCTGAGCGGATGGGAGCGAGACCGAAAAATGTGTAACAAGAATTTTTTCCGACAAATTCTGACACTTCTTACTATAGTACGCTTAGTACGTACGAGTACTTTAAATTACACAACGGATTTTAATGCGGTTTTCACCAATGGAGATAATGAATTAAGAGGAAGGGATATATGTATAATACATGCATATAGTTAATAGCAGAGAAAATCCGAAAATTTAAAAGATGTGAGATAAAACATGTTTTTGTGCGCCTACATTGCAAACGCTGGCTAAACTTTACGAGATAGACCAAAATAATGTACTATGGAATTGTACCTAAGTATATCTTAAAAAGTTCTACAAAAAAGTTCGCGATGGTAAATGTCTTAGGTACCTCCGAAGGATAAACCACAGTAATCATATTTATCTTTTAAATGTTACAAAAAAATAATGGATTATTTATGAAGCGATTATAAACAATATCTTATTATTCCTTATGCAATAAAAAACGTTGGATATATTGTGCATTTAATGTAGATTAAAATTGATTTTTGAAAAAGGATATAGGCTTAACCGATATACACACGGACAGAGCCGCGAGCAAAATCTAGTATTAAATAAGTTGTGTGTATAAATATTTGTACAATTTGCTTAGATTGTAATTCATTCATTCATTGCATTCTGATGAAAAGAGGTTGAAGTGTCTTACTAAAATTATAAGCACACAATTTCTAAAATTATAAAAAAACGAAATTTGTTAGCATGTGAAATTAACAGACTTGTGAAAAAAGGACCACTTTAGATTCTTTTACAAGTTTCTATTATAAGAACCTCTTCTTATAATAGAAACTTGTGATCAAGATCTCTATTGTCTTCAGCCGGTGACACCTGTACTCACGAAGCTTGAAACCTCTATACAGATTTCTAAATACATAATTAAATTACATACAAATCCAATTTCAAGTAGAAATTTAAAAATGAAGGTCATCGTTTATTATAGTTATTAATTTATAATTTAATTTTCTTCACAGAACTTTTATGAACTATTCAACGTTAACCGTGTTACGGGCGCTCGCATACAGTAATCTTACAGTATCACAATATCCAACCCCACGTCGGGAACCTGTTACCAAGACATACGCGTCACCAGCTCGTAAAACACGCTTAGCTTTGCAATAATCAAGAGCAGCATGCACACGAGCCTCCGTTTCTGCTATCCAGTTAGATATTGAAGGTTCGAAATAATGTACTGCGCGTACTCCTCGCCAAAATCGTAACTGTCTAGAGGTATGACAAGTTCTTGTTACCGCAACTATAGGACAAAGGGGTCTAGCGTGGGATAATAATTTAGCTGTTCGACCGGAATTCGTCAGACATATAATCACAACTGCACTGGATCGCATTGCAAGTTCAGCTGCACTGATACAGACTGCCCTCGTTGGCTCATCCACAGTTGATTGCATCAATGACAAATTACCATAAATAAATGGTTGCCATCGTATTCGTTCTGCATGTCTGCAAATAACACCTGCCGCCGCAATACAATGCTCAGCCATTTTTAGAGAGTCATAAATTGGTGAAAATTTCTGTAATGGAGAATTGTAGTGCAACTCAAGTGATATCACATCTACACCATCAAGAACCATATTTGCAATATCTGTAACACACAGTGTAGGAATTTGCTCATTAATAACAACTTTACAAATATACGGTTTCCCAGCTTTGGAACATTTTGACACTATAACTTTGAGAGCTATAAATGTCTTTTCAACAGGCAAGTCAGTGCTTAAAATACATCGATCAACATATATTCCGTCTGCCTCAGCCAAAATATCATCGATGTTATCGAATCCCAGCGCAGAATCGATGCAAGCGATAACAATAATATGTTTTCCTCTTTCTGACAATATCTCTCTGACTGCACGAATATCGTGAGCATTTTGAGTATTTGGTACAAGTAAGCCATCTACGTCATACCCAATTGCCCAAGCTATTTGTTGCTCCATGTGTTCAAAAGGGGGAACTGAAAGCTCGCTACAATTTAAAGATTCGTCATAACTATCTCCCTTTTCCTTAGGTGCAACTTCACGAGGCACTTCAGATATACGAACTGTCATTTTGGGACCAATGGTCCCGCCAATAGCAATTGAACATTCCACCGAATCTTCTCCGACCTCAGCAACTACTAGTTTAATTTTTCCTGGAGTTAAACTATCAATAAATATTATATCGGACGTTTGGAGATCCATTAAATTATCATAACCAATATAAAGACAATCAGCCGTTCCGCACTCACGCCAACTAGCATCGGTAGTTAAACGAATGGTGTTATATTGTATAAGATCTATAGAGGAATTTGGACCACCTTTTAGTTCGCCGGTTACGATATCTGGACCTCTTACATCTACAATAACAGCCAAGGGATAGACGTATTCCAATTCAGCACTGTAATTATATACAGCTTGTCTGACACTTTGAATCAGTTGGGCACAAGCATCAGGTTCTAGGTCTCTTATGTTAAGTCTTGCCACTGTCATGCCAGCCGCAATCAATTTTTGGATAGTACCAGGCTCTCGATTAGCTACTCCAATTTCGCACATTATTCCTGTCTGGAGTTCTTCTGATGGATTTTCATGAATTTTGATGTTACAGTAGTGTTCGAACTGGCTTGGTGCTACTAAGGATGGCTTGTTTTGTTTTGACTGTATACCCTCCAAAGGTATATGCCAGGGTAATGACATTGTATTTATTTACACGTTGGAGTTATTTTTATGTTAATAAACACAGATTCTTCAGATGCAAATAAGAAAAATATATACTAATAAAAGTTGATCAAAATGACACAAAGAGGGCAAAACAAACGTTTATTTTTCACAATAAAATGTCACACAACATTATGTCTGGCCAGGTAAATTTCACATTTTAAACTAAAAGTTAATCTAAAATATCCGACGGAAAAAAATGTGGAGTAAAAATCTGAATTTTTGATTCCAAATAGGTAATTAGTTAGATTTCAATGTCTTAGTGATGCGCCCTTACTCTCTTACATTAAAAAAATACTAATAGCATAGTGATCTTCATAAAATAAGAACGAATTTTTAAATTATAAACAATTTTCAATATCATACTAAATATTTTTGTATGCATTTGTTTACATAAAATATTTAGTCTTCCGTCTGACGTCATGACCACAGAGCAATATGGTGTCAAATGTATTTTCATGGCACTTATCGATAAAAACAGAGGCAGTCATAACGACTACCGACAGAAGTGAAAACTTAAAACAATGGAACTACGCGTTGCTTGTCTGGCGCAATACGTCACGAGCATATCCAGCTCATCGGCGACGCGATCCGACCTAAGTTTTTCCAATAGCAAAAAGCGCTCAACGTGGCTAAAAAAGTCTTTAAAGTCGTTAAAGTCTAAAAATTTCTAGTGGTTTGAATAGACTACTACAGAACTCTATATAATCTAATAAAGACACTGCAAAAACGAGTATAATTCGCTTTTTGTTCAGTTTTGAGAAAATCTGTTATATTCACAACCCATCACATCACAACCATCACAACCAACATATAGTCAGTTCACCTGACTAACACTCTCTCCTTGCTGCGTCAGCAATAGAGCTCCTGATTACAGAACTTGAACGCAGGGAAAGTTACATGGTTCATCGTTCTGGTCGGTCTCTCTCTTTGTTATTTTGATTCTTATCCAATGTCTTCAAAAATTACAGCTTTCAGATTTAATTTATTAACTGTTTGCAAATTGTTGAGCATGAAGAATTGAAATAATTGTTGCTGAAAAAAATTAATAAATAAAAAAATATTAGTGTAAATGTAATTATTGAAAAACGGTCGAAATTATGGCGTAAACATGGCGTAACAGAAAATTACGGTCGAAATGGGAATTCTTTCTTTTCCAAGTCGTTTTATATTTCAGTTCAAATACTTATTAACGATAATTTCTGATTACCATTATGTAGGCTAGTGGTGTTTTCCAATAGTAAATGTAAAAATTATGTTCACGAGTGCAAATGCGCTCACAATAGGTATTAAGTACGTATTGTGAGCGCACCTGACGTTTTGGACTAGGTTACACTGGCCGTTTAAAAGTTAGTATAGTAAATGTACGAGTTATTTAGAAAACACCCGAATCACCTTGTCTAAAAAATTCTCAAGGGTTCCTCTATTTCTCCATTATAAGCTCCTTATGGAATGACTATGGGACAACTAAATAAATTAAAGCAGCTACAATGTCTAATGTTTACACAAAATCTAATTTCAAGCTGTAGTGTAATTTAATTTGAATGAAATTGAAGTTAAACGGTTATGCGGAATAAAGGAACCGAAGGTACGGTACTGCTTATTCAGTTCTGGCAATTTAAGAACTTAGAGCTTTTAGTTAGTAGATCTAACATTCGAGCCCGGTAATAGTAGCCTAGCTGTAGAGGAACGTTCTAAGCAAGGTGGGCAATAAGCGACAACAGTTCGAAAGTTCGCTGGTGACCTATGGGATTCATCGAACCGTTGTTTCTTTAGATATATACTCAGTTTTGTTTTCTGTTTCAGAAGCTTTTACAGCACAATTACATTAAACATTGTGATTATTTTGTATGTAGAAATGTTTCGTTGCGTTCATTAAAATTGAAAATGACATTGCAAAAAATTACTTTGTATGCAAACTTGGAGTTTGAGTCGATTCTTTTCCCGAATAAGGATTTTATATTTTATAGGCTCATTATAAAACAATAGAAAGTTCATAATTTATGGGGTTTAAGTATGGATTAAGTGCTTGTGACTTCTGATTTATCTTTTTATATTTATACAGATGACATTGACATGTATTCTATGATGCTTGTTGGCCAACATTGTAGGTATATTTAAAACTAAATCTCTGACGTTACGTATCATTAAATTTAAAAAAAAAACCTATCCAGAAGAAAAGAATATAGTTTGAATATACACGATTTTAGTTTACTCATTATTATTACTAGAATAATAATAAATAAAATAAAATCGTGTTGGTAAAGTAATGTGATCTTGTTAGATTTCTAGTTTGACACATCACAGTTCACAGCTAGAATGATAGGTAATTATTTAAATTAGAAATAATATCAAAAACAAGTGATTTCATTTCATCTTTACTTTAAAATATTTTTTCTTGGGTTATTAAAAGTTGTTCTAGGCAGACTTTTGTTTAAAAAGAGACAAAAGTTGAAATAATATTAGCAGGTATCACTGACATAAAAAAAGAAAGAGGAGCTTGCTTGACTGCGTGTCACGTTTGTTATAGGCATAATAATCTATCGCATTTGATTTTATTTTGCCAAATAAACAGGAACTCTTTTGATAAAATGCGTCGTTTGTAAATAGTGACCTATAAGATAGTAGTGTTATGTGGGCAATGTCAGTTATTTACGTTTAGAACAACATTTTCTTTTACCACCATATATACCTACTGTGCGACCGTGAAGGTTGAGAATGTTACGTCATTTTGCTTTTAGTGTGTGATATAAACTTACATATTTTGTTTCTATACTGAACGTGTTTATAACTTAAAAAGTGTTTGATGCTGTGAGTAGTATTGTCAAGTGTAAAATGTCTAAAATGAGTGTTATCGTACATACACCGGCTGCGACAAGATGCCGCCATGTTATTTAAGATTCGCAGTTTCGCTGTCAACTACAGGTCGTAGTTAGCCCTGATACTGCTATAGGATTTATCTTCGTTCCTTAACTGTGGTAAGTAAAATGATAAATTTGTGTTCTCAAATGGAGTTAAATAAAGTTGCAAAGTTTTATTACAAAAATAGGTACTTATTAAAGTTTATGAAATTTTTATGTTTACTGTAGTGTTTGACTGTCAATGCAATGACGTCATAATATGTAAGTAGTTATTCTATAATTGTTAAAATGTAACTTAAGTAATCTTACAATTTCTAACTATGCAAGCCAATAAGGAGTGTTACCGCTTTTTCTCGTTTATGAATTTCGTCCAAGGTTTTTGCTTAGCCTTGATCACAAAACTTACCTACTGCTTAGGTTATTTTTTTGTCCTTTAAACAATCGCTCCCGTCTGGCGTCCGTTTATAACTGTTTTAACAGGAATTAAACTATAAACACAACCTAGCCACATGTCATTACACTATTGTTTATTTATTTTCCTTTTTGACTCAGTATTTTTGCCTAATGTGCTTATTTTCGATGCCCACATGACACATACTTATTTTTTTCATAAATAATTTAATTTTTGTTTTATTCATTGGAAGAGTTTTCTCATGATGTATTTATTATGATGCTTTAATGAAAGAGAAAAGAAGAAACAAGTAGAATTTATGCTGCATGGGGTGTACAATGATTAAGTACAATGGCTACTAGAGCAATGCATCCAATATTGAGTCACAACCTTTTTAGACATTCTCTATATGTATTTTTTTATTTCACTTTTTCTTCAATTACAGAAACAAAGTCAGCATTATTTTGTTTTTAAAATTTATTTGTTCTTTATGTCTATTAGCTGGTTTGTCAAGATTTTGCTATGTTTTGCGATCTTCATGCTTAAGAACAGCATATATGTAAAAATACTAGCTACTTCTTTTATTCAGTGATTGGTTCATTTAGGAAATACTTCCCAATACATCAAACTATAACATGCAAATAATGCTTACCATAATGACCCTAAAATTTCCTGAAACTGTTAGAATCTCATTAGCCATATCGAATCTGTGGTTGTATTCAATAGCATTCTTTTTAAGCAAATCCTTGGTCAAAAATCCTATCAGTGTCTAGTAGAAGCAAATGTATGGCCTATTGGTTCATAATTGGTATAAGTGATAACTTCTAACAACATCAAAAATTTATTTAAGGATCTTTACAGTGTTCATATCATTTAGAACTTTTGAAATATAAGAACATTGCCCTTTGAAAGAATTTTGATCAGACACATTTTTATTACAAGCAAGAAATTTAATTTCTTTACTCTTCAACAACGTTTTTAAATATACCCATTACTCATTTTACCCTTTGAAAGTGTAAGTCTCTTGATGGTAAAATGTAATAATTCAAGAAAAAAAATAAAAGGCAAGGTAAAAGCCCTAATGTTCGACATAGAACTAAAAGATGACACTATTGGAAAAACCCTTTTCAAATAAGAAAAATAATTAAACAATAATTTTTCTTATTTGATATGTCTATCAAATAATATAATATTTTTTAATAGCAATAGTAATGCGATAGTGATGTAATCTGTTTAGTTTACTTAGAATAATGTTTTTAATAAATCAATTTGTAAGCGTTTTATATAAGATGTCTGAATAAAGGCTATTATAATTATTATGTTAAATTTGTTCTTTCTCAGCTTTCGCTGGTAGTATTTTGTAACATTTACGGACAAAGTCAAGTAAATGCCACGGGTTCTTGGGTGAAGTTTATTATGTCTATTCGTCTATTGCATTGTGTATTTGTTCATCTATTTGCAGAAATTTTCTTACGATTCTGCAAGTGTTTAGTATAGCAGCTTTTTGAAGAATCATGTAGGTATTGGGTTTTAGATCAATGAGTTTTAAACTAGAATGTATATGTTTCGGAATAATACCAGTCATGGACAATACTATAGGGACAATGTATACTTTTTGTTGTTTCCAGATTCTTAAAACTTCATCCTTAAGGTCTGCATATTTGTGTATTTTTTCTGCTATTGTTTTTTGTAGGTTGTGAGTATTTGGAACAGCTATATCGATCAGG